GTGGGGGAGGGTTGTATGTCTCTGTAAGACAGGGTAGGGCAGAGTAGTGGTGTAGGTAGAGTAAGTAAGTACCGTTGTAGGGAGGTCAACCAACGGTTAGGGCAAATAAAAGTACCTAGGGCTGTTTGTTGGGTAGGCCAGGGCTGGGGTGGAAATGTGCGAGGGCGAATGTAGTGTAGGTAGGTAGTGGTAGTAAGTAGTAAGTAGCTACGTACACAGTAGGAATACTGTCGTAGTAGCGTGCACGCAACGAGCAACGGCGGGGGCGGTGTCAGTCCTTGGGTGGCTGTGATGACGTCGGATGGCCGGGCTTGCTTGACGTTGACACAAACTGTGAGGGAGGAGAGTAGAGCGTGCCTAGCGCGCAAACGAGGAGGAAGAAAAGGGAACAGGGCAACAGCAACGCCCCCCAGACGTGCTGAAATGGTGCGGATGAAAGTGTTCAGATTGGACGGGCTTTGGGCGCTGGTGCACACACCCCATACCAGACGAGTGCGTCGCAGAGGGCGTATAACCCATAAATCGTTACTCTACCCCGCTATGGCGCAGTCGGGTGGGAAGATCTACACAGCACAGTAGAGTACTCTAGAGCAGATGGTGGTAGGACTAGAGTAGTAGTAGCAGTAGTAGCAGTAGAGTGGGTATGCCGGGCTGGCTGTGGCGGTTCACAGTCTGTCAGTTGCGGCGGGCAGCGTCCTGTGGTAGTACACAGTAGACACAGTCCACGGGTGCTACCATAGTCATGTTAAGCAATGGGCGGAATCCTGGCGACAAATCTAGCCGTGTCTAAAGTACGATTGTACTTGCATGCATCCATGTTAGCTGCATGTGGGCCGTCCGGTAACTACATAGGTACTCTACTCTAGTACTCTGCCATTGATGTCTTGTCGCTTACCGCCTGGCCATTGGACATTCCAGGGCTTCCAATGCCACTGCACCAGTCAAAGAGTTCGTAACGGGATGGGGCAGGTGGGAGAGCACCGCTTGCATTGATTGTTATGAGACAATCCAACTACTGCGTTCAATCACTCTCTCATCCACTCTTCACCTGCTTGGTCTCTTTGTAAGCCAATTGCGCACTTCAACCTCCGCCGGGTGCGATGCTGACGAGGCCGCTGCGCCGCAAGTACTCCAGAGTGTCCCCGAGTGCAGCGCGCGCTGCCTCATCTCCTCAGACTATCCAGACGAGCCTGGAGATCATCATCGTCTGGGTCTGCGCCTCCCCCAATAGCTTGGGCCACTCTTGCCTCGGGTACTGCACTCTTCTGTAGACCACTGGGTGTCTCACCAAGCTGCGACTGGTTAGTCGATGCGATTGCATGCTTCCTGGTAAACATACTGCTGCGCCAAGATCGATGCCTATCTCGTCCAAGACCTGATTGACCACATCTTCGCTCTCTTCCTCGTCCTCCATACCAGTGGCATCGTCAATGGCATCGTCCATCATCTCCTGTCGCTGGTCCATGATGTCATTCTCCTTCTCAAACTCCATGGCGATTCGCTGGAGGGCGGGAAGGTTCATTTGCCTGTTCATGCTCCCGAGCAATGCTAGTAAGGATCAGGATAGGATACTGTTTGGCTGGTCGATTTGGCTTACTCGTAGCTCCCTTCATCGACTGCATCATCTGCTCGTTGCTGCGTACTGTCTGCTACATGTCAGCCACCCATGCTCAAGATAGATTCCGATAGCGTACTTGAATCCTCAAAGATATGGCCTGCAACTGTGTTCGCATCTGGTAGAACTTCTGGATATACCTAGAGCTGTGTCAGCCCATGTGGATGCTCGAGGTGGGAAGCGCAACCCAATCATACCGTCGTGTCCGCACAAGATCCTTTGCCTGTATCCGCAGAGGGCCCATCTGCCCATTCTTTGCGCTCTTCTTGATGTCTGCAACAAGCTTCTTCTCCTGGTTCTCGAGCTTCACGCGCTCGCGGTCTAGTTCTCGCTGTGTCTTCTCGAGCGCTCGCTGATGCTTGCGCAGGCGCTCCGCCGGCGTCATGCGCTTCCCGAACGCCCACTCTACTATCTGCATGTTGTTGTCAGTAGAAGCCTCTCAGGGGTATGATTTCCACGTACATTCATGGCTGAGACTGGCTTGTACGGGTGATGGGCTTTGGTAGGTGGTGTTGAGGGTGGTTGTAGTGGATAGGCTACTAGGCACACGCGGTTTCGAGGCAGCAATCAAGTATTACACGAAGCAGTTGAGAGCACTTGGATTCGCCGACTGTTCGGGTAGACAATCCACTTCGCTTCTTTTGTGAGGGAGGAGGAGGAGGAGAGGACTGAGTTATGCACCTTTCACATCATGTGTTTGGATGCTGTAATCGTTGCTCCAGTCTCTCTACCTATGCGTCGGGAGACGGCCTCGGTCGCCAAGGCAAGGAATAGGTACACGTCAAGCCCTGACAAAAACCAGCAAACGATGATGTGCAAATTGCCTTAAGAGTGATTCGAATCGAATCGAGTTGCGCTACAGTGCCTTCTATCTTCCATCATCGTTCAGCACTTCACCGTCCACCATGACACCATCTAAAGTCTAGTAGCATCGCCGCGGGGGTCGTCTTAGGCACTCTGCCAGTACGCATCACGCACGCATGCTCTCTCTCCCTCTCTCGGGAACCAAGCCAACCCCTGCTTTGTTAGCGTGCTCGCCACCAAATAGTTGCATCACACCTCTACACCGTACAGTACAATTCTTCGCGGCCCCACCCTCCATCTCGCCCCTTTCCTCGACAATTCCCTCTGCAACATGCGCCTTCACTCGTTGGCGCACACCCAGTAACCTCCCCGATGTCTCCCAAGCGGCCTGTCAAAAATCCTTCCGACCGTGGCGAGTCCTCGAGTAGTCGCCATGGCCACACCCCCGATGCCTTCACACCACGCCACCACATGGGCCCAGGCTACATGACTGTAGGCTCTGGCAGCACTCCGGAAGCCACTGCACGCCTTGTCTCGATGTTGGACGAAGACTCTGGCTATGGAGCAAGCCTTGCAGAGGGGGAGGGTGCTAACCGTAGTTGGCACTCGACGATTGGTGAGGACCGGCCATCGCAGTCCCCACGCCTATACTCAACGGCGAGTCGAGCTTTTCGGAGCACGACAGACAACGCAGCCATGTCCTGCAACTCCGCTACAACCAGAACAAGAATGCGCTGGGTCGGGCCATTCACGGCACCATCGACACCCTGAAGACCTCTCAAGAGATGAACCTCAAGTGGCCTGCTCACTACCCCTCGGTGCAAGTCGAGACCCAAAGGTCACATCTGCGCACTGATTCTCGGCCTGGCCTACAGCACACGCAACCCGCCATAGGCGGCGACTTTGAGCCGAGCCTGCGCTCACCCGACCGACCGCGTCCCCCGCGCAGGACTGGAACAACTGTGGGGGATGAGCCAGTCGCAGAGTCAAGTTCTGCCGCTGCTGCGAAGGAGACGAAAGTGGAGCCCCGCTTGGTCACGCCAAAACTGGCCCATGACTTTTCCGTCCTCAAGCTTGAATTACGCATGGGGGGTCGCAACCAGACCGACTTGGTGCATTCGCTAGAAAAGAGCTCCATCGCCTCCTTGCTCGACGGCCAAATCCAGCAAAGCAAAAAGCATCTCTACTCGATCAAAGAACGTATTCAGGACACCTCCAGCAAAGTGCTTGTTACTAGAGACCTCAATGCCGGGAAGTCGACCTTCTGCAACGCCCTACTCCGGCACAAAGTCCTACCGGAGGATCAACAACCCTGCACAAGCATATTCTGCGAGGTCCTTGACTTCAGAGAGAAGTCCATGCAGTGCCAATTGGATCAACATACAATCGCCACGACGAGAGCACGTACATTGTCTTCGCCTTGGAAGACCTAGAAAAGATTGTCGTCGGCAATGGGCATTTTTCCCAATGCAAGATCTACATCAAGGACATCCAAGATGTCGATGAATCCATTCTTAACCATGGAGTCGTCGACATTGCCTTAATTAATGCACCTGGCGTTAATGCTGACTCTCTTAAGACCACTGCTGTCTTCGCCCGTTAGGAGGAGATTGACGTAGTCGTTTTCGTTGTTTCAGCGGCAAACCACTTCACCAAGTCTGCCAAAAACTTCATCTTCAGCGCAGCTCAAGAAAAGGCGTATATGTTCATAGTAGTCCATGGCTTCAATACGATCCGTGACGTGCCCCTTGAAGGTTTGCGATCTAGTCAAGTTGCATTGTACCGAACAAAAAGTCGGAGACCATGAAGGCGTTTGCAGGGAGTTTAGCTGGTTACTAACGACGTATTTGGGCGATGTTTACGTGTACATACGAATGAATCAATACCTCTCTTGCCCCTTTTAATCGATACCAAGCTAGCAGAATGTCCGCAGAGATAATAATATATAGTTTGTTATGAAAATAGCGCCAAGTTATGGTAGGTGATGGGTTGTCGGACCTCCGGGCTCCCACGTCATGCGGCCCGCACATGTACCAGTAGGCAGCTCCCAAAGCAACCTCATGCACATTCCATCTCCACGCCTCCATGGCTGACTCACCCGATCGGCCACCCTGAGATGGAAGTGCGACGGGACCCTCGGTCTTTTCTTTTCTTTATCATCCTACTACTACTCATCAACTCGCCGGAACCGCAGCAACCGACGTTCAACGTGCATGCGCGCTTCAAGGAGCTCATCGCGCGCGAATATGGCCACCTCGACATACTAAACAGGACGCGGTATGGTGACTTCAATGTAAAGAAGAATCGATGGTTGAACGTGACTGGGCTGCGAGAGGAGGATGGCTTTGCGTGGGAGTTGTTGGATCCGGTGCGGGAGCGGGCGAGACAACAGTCGGAACGATGGCTGGGTGAGCGCTGGCAGGGTGCGCTTGATGGATCATTAGAAGGGCAGGAAGAGAGTATACCGGTCTACAAGAACCTTTCTGGCTACGTGCAGGGTGAATGGACGCGCTCGCCCCTGAGTCGCATACGACATCCCAGCGACATGGGCAACTCGTCGGTCATTCCTAGCGACCCGTTTGGACATTTGGTCGAATACGATCGGAACCTCACAGGAACTGGCGGACCGCTGCGGTTACACATTACAGAGCTGGAAGACAAGATGCGGAGGAATGAAAATAAAACCATGTCTGAAATCAGCGCGAAGGTGGTGATCGGAGATGACGACAGTTTTGGAGGCAATTGGTGGGAGTTTATTGTGCATGGTGTACACTTGACAAAGAGTGGGACGGCGATACTGACGACGACAAGTGATCGGTATGCGGGCATCTTTGCTTTGCCACATTTACAATCGTCGCAGTATCATTACTCCTTGTCGCAGAGTTTCCTCAATTGGACGATCCACGAGACGATCAAGCGGCAAGAGAACAGAGTGTTTCCGCTGTGGAATCCGTGGACCTCCTCGGCCGAGGGGAGCAATGAAGCCATCTTCCAAGGACATCACTGCGAGTTCGTCTTATACCTGCAAGAGATACCGAGTCAGTATAAGGTGGACATGGACTGGCTCGAGCACGAGATGCGATACCCAACTGGAGCATCAATCAAACAACATGCGCCATTCTCCATGTCCTTTGTGGGCTTCTCACCTGACTGTGGCTTCGTCATCGAGTCGAAAGGACCTCCAGACTTCCCACCTTCGGAAGCAGCACATCTGAGTGGATCCAAGACCGAGGACTTCAACGAACGGACGAGACATAGCATCATCGCCTTCTCTGTCACTCTAGCGTTCCAATTGTCTTTTCTCATCCAGCAAATGAAGGAGACGGCCACACCATCGATGCGCAGCCGAGTTAGCTTCTACACCATCGCAACGATGGCTTTAGGCGATGGCTTCACATTTCTCATCCTGGTGTTCATGTACCTTTTCCTTGGCTCTTCCCAGCTTGCCTTGTACAGCATTGCATTCATGGCCCTATTCTCTGTGCTCACGCACCTCCGCTTCCTCATGGACATTTGGTCAGTTCAAGCTGCAGAGCGGGCACGGTTAGAACGACAGACAATACCAGCTCCTTCTCCTGCCCCAGCAACTCCCGCTATTACTACATCGACTCGATCTGCAGTCCCTGCATCTGCTGTTCAAGGTCTCCCCCTCCCAGCAACAGCTTCTCGGCTGCAGCCCCGGCCACCAACACCCATTATTATCGCACCAGATCAAGACGACCCCTTGGATGACGAAACACCCTTACCGACAACCAACACAGCCACTACCACAACAACGGTAACAACGACAACACAAACAAACGCGAATCCTCGCGCCGAACTCGGTGCCCTTTACAGCCGTTTCTGCCTCCTGCTAATCGTTCTCTTCTTCGTCACCATACAATTCGCGACCGCGCGCGCCACTTACCGCACTTTCTACTTCAACGCTCTCTCCTTCACTTACCTCTCTTTTTGGCTCCCGCAAATCTACCGTAACGTCATGCGCAACTGCCGTAAAGCCCTACGCTGGGACTACGTCATCGGTACATCACTCGTTCGCATCGCCCCAATTTCGTACTTCTACTTGAAGGAAGACAATGTGCTCTTTGCGCGCACAGATTGGCAGTGTTTTGCAGTGCTACTGGGGTGGATGTGGATTCAGGTCGTCATTCTATGCAGTCAGGAGGTACTAGGAGCAAGGTGGTTTGTGAGAAGTGGATGGGCGCCCGAGGCGTGGGATTACCATCCTATTCTCCGTGAGGATGCGGAAGGCGGGATGATGCCGTTGAACGTTACCATGCCCACTGGTTCTACCACCACCGACGACCATGCCTCCTCTTCTTCTGCAACATCGACAAAGTCACCCGAAACCAAAGACAAACGCACAAACAAAAAGGTCTTTGACTGCAGTATCTGCGCGCAGGACATCGAGGTTCCGGTGATTCCCGCAGGCGCGGGTTCCGGAACCGCAGACGAAGGCGTGGCCGGTATGGCGGGCACGAGTATGATATTGCAGCGTAGAATGTACATGGTTACGCCGTGTAGACATGTTTTCCACACGCCTTGTTTGGAGGGCTGGTTGAGGTATAGGCTTTTATGTCCAAACTGTAGGGAAAGTTTGCCGCCGCTTTGAAAGATGTGTGGTATATGGTGGGTTAGGAGTGCGATATCAGGTATCGGGCTTGAATTCGATGGCTGCTTAGATGGTGGTTGGCTTCTTTGTATCGCATTTGCATGCATGGTAAATTTGTAGTCATGGGACTTGGTCCTTTCAATCGAGATACTATTTTGGCTTTGGAAGTTCCCTTGGAGTTTGTACAGGTCCATTGTCTCTTGTTACATGTAGTTGCAAGATGACGGTTGGTTGGTAAGAAGTGAGGTTAATAAACATGTACAAGTGTGGGTTTGTGGGCGTTCAATGGATACGCGGCCTATGTATAGCTATCATGGGTATCTACGTGGATTGCAATGGTCAATAGATGCGTAAATCTGGCATCTGCAATTCACCTCTGCCTCTTTGCCTCTCGCCCTCTATGTCCATGTGATGGAATAAGTGCACGTAAACTTGAGCGTTGCTTCTAAGAAGAAGCAAAAGCTACAACCCTCATCAACCCCACGCAGAACAGTACCTACCTGGCCGTCTCAATAGACTGCAACAAATAAAAATTCTAAATAATTCTACCTGACACTATCCCTACGGTTGGTTCCTTTGCAGCAAAACTCTCGTCGTCGCTGCCATTTAGGCGCTTTAACCATTTCAGATGGCAACTCGAATTCGCATACTCCGATACCAATATAGCGCCCCAGGTGTTGCGGGCTCGCAGGAGAAGTAGCCCAGGTGAGGCGATCAGGGCCGATTTTGCAGCAGAGCTCTGAATTTTTTGGATAGGGAGCCGTGGATACATGTGCAACGCACACGCCTAGGGGTATCTTGCTGTCTCTGCTTGAATGTTAAGATATATGCCACTTGGTACAAGGGAAGATGGGTATATAAGCCAAGGTGGCGAGGAAGAAGAGGCAGGTGGGGAAGGTGAATCTCATAGTCATAACTGGGATACGGCTTCTAAGAAGATTAAAGGGCCAAGAGGATACTAGCAGTGGTAGACCGAGACTTTTGTTTATACGACCTGGAAGTCTGTTCAGGGTGATTTGCTATTGATTTTCGTGACCTAATTGGAACCAGGATTCGTGTATTTAATTTAGTTCATATAAGGATTGTCCATGTGCAAGCATGTTTTGAAGATTTCAGCACCATGTAAACGGGCCTATAAGCGTTATTTTCTCCTCAAAATTATGCGCTTGCAGCTACCCCAGATGTTATGGGGCAGCACTTACTATGATAGTTCAAAATAGCGGTAGTACTGGGCCAAGCCTTTAGGAGAGGTCGCATTATGTCGGTTCACATTCCTATTGAAGACAAGATTGCTGTGCTCAGGAATAGGTTAGGGTATGGATGATTGGATTGTATCTATCAAGATAGAGCTGAAACATATAGAGCTCACAGCTGTGCACCTAGAAGATGACGATTAGTACACCCATGTTGGCTTAGCACCAGGCAGCCCTCTACCGGACAATTTGTAGAATTGGCAGAACTTTGTAATGAGTTGGCAGTAGGTCCCAGCAGAGATATCAATCAAGGATAGATAAATATATCACATCGAAGTGCTCAATGTACTCCATTTGTAACAAATATGCGTGGATTAGAACATGGTAGTTAATCGCTGCATCCATGTTATATTTGTAACCTGCTACCTAATCTCTGCTATCTGCCATGCATTTTATATGATGAAACAAGTACATGCGAAGTCAACTGTTGCTTCGAACAAAAGAAAAGGCAACAAAACGTGGTACACCAGATGAAAGTCTTCCAGACCCGCAGCTTGGCCCGTAGATCTCACAGCACGAAGGCACCGTAGTACCTGCCCACCTGAACAGACGGCTCGTAATCAAGACTGCAATAAGACTATACGGGTTAGCAGCGTGCAGTATGAATGTTCCCGTTTACCTTGATACCGATCAAGCGCGAGGCTGATCATGTGCAGCAATCGATCCAATATTGTCCCATGGAGCGAGGGTCAAGCAGTGCATTGACTTGGCACCTTGATCCATCCGGTTCAATTTCTCGTGGTTCACCGCAGCAATACCTTGTTATTTCCGCGACTCCTGTTGGCTTGTAGCCAACGCAATCGCAGATCATACGCTGTCCAGTGACCCTCGCACTGTCGAAAGGTTAGGCTACGTGCGGTTTTGTACAGAGGGGATTTGTACGTACATATGATAAAAGGCCTTGGACAGGATGCGGTCAGACAGAGGCTTGTGAGAGTATAAAAAAAACTTGAGAGTTTTTCAAAGTTGATTGATTGATGTACTGTTCCTCCATGGGGTGAGGAGGGAATCTATGCACTAGGACTCAGTCAGTTACAAATCCTGTGTAAGGCTGTTTTGCGGTATTTCATACTCTAGAATCAAAACATCAAATGCAAATGCCAATTTTATGGAAAGTCGTGCGCAGTAGGCACTATAGACGTTGCGAGTTGATATTAGGCCCGAAATATGAGGCAATAGTGCTATGTAGGCCAAGCCTCTAGTGATGTCATCATGCCGGTTTAGATGCCCCTTCAGTCGCTGCGTCAAGACACCTAGTACATTGGATCAAGATAGTTTCTGTGTCCTTCTTTTATACTGCCACACCATAGGTACATTGCCATCATGTGAAATGTCCATCTTGTTCCGATAGAAAGCATTGAGACTAAATTCCCTAGTTTTGCATATTTCATTTAACTCCTGTACTGACTTGCATGCTTCTGGAGTAAAGATGCTCTGGAAAGAGTCTCTCCGTACTTTTATTACTCTTGTCAACTGTATAACATCTATGTTATCTTACATGTAGGCCTAATAGTAACTGTATAAAGACCAGGCAGTCAAGGACTCAACATGCTTGCAATCCCAACGCTAACACTGCCACACATATACGCAGTGCCTTCATATCTACCCAAGTTGGTGTATTATAACCGTAAGAGAGTGAGCAGTTGGTAGGAAGTATGAATATGTATAGTACTCCATGATTTATATGCACCTTCATGAGAAAACGTCTCAAAGACAAGAAGGATAACACACTGTACTTGAAGTACTCGGTAGTATAGACAGACTCGAAGTCACATTATATGCACAGCTTCAATACAAGGTCGTCCACCATGGCGGTACGGCACTACGGCGATATGGACCATATTGAACATGTCTGTAGAGCGTACGGCGACCACTGGCCAGATAGGACCTGTACCGTTCAGTTTCTCTAGCCCGGGCATCGCGTTTAGCTTCAGCACCCCGTTCTCGAATCTCTAGACTTTTTGATCCAATTGTTGGTCATACCTTGCATCGTTGGCTACGGTAATCATGTAAGCGGGGAATTACGCACGACTACTGCTTACACAGCGCCAAAGCTTTTTTTTTAAATACATCTCCCAGCCCTTTGGACCTCAGCACTTACGTAGTCTATCCGCAAAATGCCCTCATCTCCTATTTCCCTCTAGGTACCGCATCCAACACACGCTAAGTCCAGCTAATCCTAAACATACACATGCAACATGTGCATTGCTTACGCCGAGCCCATGGTATGCGCTTACCCGCCCAGGCCTAGCGGGAGATGATTGTTCGAATTTGCTTCTTCGCAGGTTTCAACTTCGCGGTAGGATAAGTATCTAACTTGTCTGAGATTTTCTTTGTGACTTCGTTGGTAGGACAAGTGCTGTTGGGTAGTTGTTTCCTGGTGAGGCCGTCTGCTGTCGTGTACGAGTGTAGGTAGTACACTGTGTACAAGAGTCGCGTGATTGCACGTTCGTCGGGCAGTTTCGACCATGTATGTGCATGTGCATTGCGGTGCGATGGAGATGAAAAGAAAAAGTTTCGGCGTGCGCAACGCAGGCCAAGAACGGCCAAGAATAAAGAGTAATACACAGTTGTCCTTGATGGGGAGAGAGGATTCTAGGACTTAAAAATTGGTATTGGTTGTGGTATCAATGGCTATCGTCTTGGAGAAAAAAAGGTGGCAAATGGATCGCATCTTCACCTTCGTGCGCGCAGACTGGCTGCTTTTCTCTATAGTACATGGTATATCCCTCTTGATGAAAATGTATGCCTGTGCCAAGTCGCCTGGCATCCCGAGATACGCCCATAAACGCCTCGGATAAATATGTGAATCTAGTGAAAATATGCAGTCATCCAGAAAGTTTAGCCTGTAGGCCAAGTCGTTCATTCGATCGGCGTCGCACCGTTTTCCCCCATTCGCCAGCGGCCTGGCTTGCGGCATTGGCCTTGACGTCCGACTTTTTCTTGTAAATCGTGAAGTTGTTCCATGTTGTCGTCTTGAAAGGAGAAGGCGCCACTCCAGAAGCCGCAGTCAATATTCGTAGTCTCGTTGCGGGCCAGGACTTGATTCCAAGCTGCGAGATCAACTGGTGGTATACCCGGCCGTTCACCCGATTTTGCACCTATTTGGTCCACTTGACTTTGGCCTGGCATGTGATGGAAGAGTTCAGAGTTTAGGGTCCAGCAGCGAAGTCCGTAGGTCCGCTGTTTTTCACTTTCGGCGCGAGGAGGGAGTGCCATACCCTTGAAAGATTTGGGTGTCGGCGATGGTATGTTCTCGCCCTTGTTACATGCATGGAGAAGCGCGACGTCGAAAGCACGGGCACCCTTTGGCTCAAGACGTGGTGGTGCGAGATCGTCCAAGAGTCGCATAGCGGCCGATCGGGTCACAGCATAGCCGAACGAGCAGAGCGGAAACCGGGAACGATGCATCACTCGCGACTTTTCTGGCACCTTCAACAGCCCGAAGAGCAGCTGGGTAAAGGGATGCAGTTCGGATGGAGGAGGCAATGTGGGATCGGTGTACGTTATGTGCGGCATGTCGCTCAGGTTGAAGTCCTGGCGAGAAGTATCAGGCCCGTCTTCGGTGACCTCGTCAAAGTAGTCGCCGCAGTGGCCGAGGTAGAGTAGGTCCCAGTCCTCATGGTTGCCCCAGTATTGTGTGCGACCGTTGCGACCGTTGGCGAATGGGTGATGTGAGCGAACGGGTGGCAGAAGCTGGCGAGTAGCACTGGCGGCGAGTGGGATCTGTATGCTTCGTAGGCGAATGTCCCAGTCGACATCATCCTCGAGTATGAGGGCGGTCTCTAGACCGGAATCGAGGAACCTAAGCGCAAGATCGGGTCAGCTTCGTATTCCTCTTCTCTCCGATGACAGTGCAGCGGCTGCGGCTAAGACGGGTACCACCAGAAGGCAGAAAAGTAACTACCTACCATCGGAGGGCATTGTGGTGACCCAGCCAGGCCAGTAGCGAACCTCTTCGAGCATCGGGTTGACCATTGATGAAGCGCTGAACGTCGCCCTCGGTCCAGACTGGTTGCTGTGGAATGGTAATGTCAAAGTCGGTCACATTGGCGGCCTGTAGAAGGGAATGGCGCCGTTCTGAACCGTCCTTGGAGACGGCGAGGACTGCGCCGAAGCCCAGTGTTCGGTTGGCAGCTATCTTGACGGGGTGGGATTCGAACGAGGACAGCCACTGGTTGTATAAGCGGTCTGAATCTCTGCTGTGGTAGCAGAGGACGAGGAGGAAGAGGGCGAGGGCGACCAGCAGCGGTGTCGACCGCTTCTTCCTGGCAGCAAGCATGCCAGGCGACAGAACCTTAAGGAAGCAGAAGAGAAACGAGAGCGTCAAGACACATGTCTACCGAGCCAACAGGTGGTAAGTGGATATTTTGTAGATAAGTAGGCAGGCAAGTATGGCTAGGTAGACGAGAGGGCAGGAGCGTGGCGAGGGAAACAACAACGAGGGATTTGACGGGGGGGGAAGGGGAGTGGGGAATTGAGTCTGGGGGAGATGAATAGGACAGCAGGTGCGAGTGGGATTATTGCACATGAGTTGTACAAGGCAAGGTCGAGTGTACCTATTCCGATGGTCTTGGTCTGCCCGATCCATGGCAGGCATGTCGAGCGACTCAGGTTTGAAGAACGAGCAGGGTTGGATAAGTCCGGCCGGGGTGGTGGTGCAAGGACTGAGATTGGTTCTGCAACAAAGTGTATCAGGCTAGGTAGAGTAGACAGTAGGCGTGTAAGATGATTGCGCGCCGGTCATCAGGGGCGCTTCATCTAAGCTGAGTGGAGACTTGTGTTGAGAGTGCAGGATCTGCGGCGGGAGCAATATGGAACGTGCGACTGATACCGGTACCCAATCCCGCCGTGACGGGCGCTGACTGTGCGAGTCCGGCCGACATGTACTGTGTATCATGTACATAGTAGAGTACTGGTATCTACGGTGGTGCATCGGGGCCATGGCGGGTGTGATATGTTCAAAAGTACATACAGTATGGTATTGATGTAGAGTGAGGTAGGCAGAGAAGGTAGAGGGGTACGCGGTAGGTAGGGTGTGTACGGTATATATGGTAGGCTGAGGTTGAGGACCCCTTTTCTTCTGTACTACCTACAGCGTAGTACTTATTATACAGCACGGTACCTACCACTATCCTACCGGTACTACCGTACAGTGTGTAAAACAAGTGCCTGGGTACCTGGCTGTCGGTAGCTATGGTGCCTCCACAGTAGTACTCTAGGTACACCACACACTACTGTGGCCTGTACCACGCCTCAGTCACTGCATACCTAGCTAACGTAGAGTATACCGGTAGCTATACATACTGTAACAGCCATCTAGAGTATCTATCCACCTACTCTATACCTCTGCCTACTTTGACCAACTTTGCTTGGACGCCGTGACCGAGCGGGTGGACCTGGTTTCGTCGCTGGCTCGTCGCTGGCTCGTCCCTGGCTCGTCCCTGCCAAGATCAGCTTGCAAGAAAAGATGGCTTTCACGCCCGCCCGGGTCCTTCCAAGGTTGGACTGAAAGCAGCCCAGCGTTGGCGTTTTGTCACGTGAGAGCCGGGTCACGTGTCGCCTGGTTAGCGCTTCCACAGGTAGAGTACTGTGTACATGTCAGCTACCCAGCCCCGGTAGATGGGGCGGGCAGGTAGATTGGCCGTGGTACCATGTCGGTTCCTGCTACCCCCGCCTGGTACTGTACATAGAGCTACCTAGGAGTACTCTTACTATTGTATGCATGTACATGCGGTAGCTACCTAGGTAAAGTATACTCTACATGTAGGGCTGGCTGCTTGGTGTGCTTGGGGCACTAGGCCACCCGCTACCGGTACGGTACCTACGGCTGCGGCTGACATGCGTTCCCCCAGTTGACGACGACGACGACGACGACTTCTTACCTAACACAGACAGATAGACAAGACAGCAACAGTGCACCCTACTCTGGAGTCTGCCAGTCTGGTTACCAAGCTCGCGTCTGGCAGCGACTCGGCATGTCGCGGTAACAGACGGGCTAGAAACAAACTACTCCAGCAGAAAGGGACGTCGTCCACCTACCTAGAAGAGAGTACGGTACCGGTACCTAGCCAGCACACAATACACACCGCACAGTTCCATCCTATCCTATACCAACCAACCCTGTCTGTCGCATCGTTCCCAGTTTCTTCGTTCCTGTTCTGTTCCTGTTCTGTTCCTGTTCCTCGCCCTCGCCTTCGTCCGTTTTTGCCTTTGAGCTACTAACCATACCACCTATTCCTATCTGCGCTGGCTGTGCCGTGCTAGGCGCCTGTGACATGCTGTACGCCGCTGCACCCTGAAACCCGTAGTGCAGCGCAACCTATCGCATCGCCCGTCCTCATCCTCGTCCTCGTCCACGTCTCCGCCATTCATCCTCGAACCGGCCGTCGTCCTTTTCAGCCTTTTCAGGCTTCCCACCACCAGACCGCGCGTCGCCTCTGATTAGCCAACTCACCCTACCGCACCCTACCGCACCGCACCGCACCGCACCACATGCACACACCACCAGCGCGCCGATAAACCATGGCCACGCTGGGCTCGCCCTCCTCCCCGTCCTCTCCTTCGCGAACCATGCGCCGCCGCGGCTGGGCTAGGAAAGTCGAGCGATACTGCTGCACCGCCCTCACCTATTTCCCGCTGCTCTTCGTCTACGGCCTGACCTCGTGGGCCGTCTGGGTCGAGGCAGGCATCGGCTTCGTCCCTTCCAAGAATGTCTGGACTGGTGCGTCATCCCTCCACCTTGCGCTTTTCATCGCTCTTAGTACCAATATCTCGTCCCCTCTTCAGCGTCTCACAACACTTGTCCACTTTCTTGTGCTGCAGCGGTCGTCGCACTTGCGCAAATCACCTCACTAACGCAGTCCACTAGGCAAGTTCTCGTCCGCCCTCGGCATCTTCTTCTACCTCATGCTCAACTGGAGCTACACAACCGCCGTCTTCACCGATCCCGGGTCGCCGCTCCATGTCAACAATGGCTACAGCCACTTGCCAACCCAAGAAGGAGGCGGAATCCAATACACTTCCTTCACCGTCAAGGCCTCGACAGGCGAACTGAGGTTCTGCAACAAGTGCCAGTCCAAGAAGCCTGATCGCTCCCATCATTGCTCCTCTTGCAAGCGCTGCGTTCTGAAAATGGACCACCATTGCCCATGGTTGGCCACGTGCGTGGGCCTGCGCAACTACAAGCCCTTTGTCCTCTTTCTCGTCTACCTCACCTTCTTCTGTTGGACATGTTTTGCAGCTTCCTCGACATGGGTCTGGAGCGAGATCCTCAGCGACGGACAATACACCGAGTCTTTTATGCCCGTCAACTACGTCCTGCTCGCAGTGCTTTCTGGAATCATTGGCCTTGTCATCACAGGCTTCACCGCATGGCATCTGTGGCTCACCGTCAAGGGACAGACCACGATTGAGAGTTTGGAGAAGACGCGCTACATGTCGCCGCTGAGGAATAGCATGAAGCAGAGTCTAAACGACCGCACCTATCTCGATGCCCAGGCGAATGGGCGTCTGAGCATCAGCGACCAAATACGCGACATCCACGCCAACGTTCTACCAGGCGTCACCAGACCCGAAGAAGGCGAAGTTCCCTCCAGAAGCACATCTCGCTCGCCACGGCCTGATGAAGCCCCCAGGAGCAACGGCTATGCACACCCCAATCAGCAATCCTACGAATGGCGTGAACGCCAACTAAACCAAAGCCGCTACGATTCCTACCTCGACGAGCGCGACAACGAACAACTTCCCAACGCGTTCGACCTCGGCTGGAAACGCAACCTCATGCACGTCTTCGGCCCATCACCCCTCTGCTGGCTCGTCCCCATCATCAACACCACAGGCGACGGCTGGTCCTGGGAGCCAAGCTCGAAATGGCTAGCAGCGCGCGAACGCATAAAGCGTGAGCGTGAACACGAAGAGCGTATCCAAAAGCAGCGTGAGCGTGCTGCAGGCTGGGGCGTCGATTCTCCTACTGAACCTGAGTTTAGGCGTCCGATGCGTGGACCAGGTGGTTGGCATCCCGGCCAGTATAGCCAACCTGCCCCACGGCAGTTCCCTCGACCCGACTGGCAGCCATCCTCCCTCCGACACAGCGAACAGGCCCAGTATCTCAGCACCTCCAATGGCGTCCTGAGGCCAGGCGAAGGACGCAGAAGCCCGAATAAAGCGGATCAAATCCTCGGAAGGGAACGGGGCATGTACGCCGACGGCGATGTGCAGCTCCAAACTATTGATCGCAAGAAATTCGACCAGTATAATTATGTTTCCGAAGACGAGGAGGACGACTACGAAGTCTCAAGCGACGAACAAGCAGCAGATGCAAAGAAGGCTACGCAGCCGAAGATCGTTCCTGTGCCAACGCAGAACTGGAACGATGTACCAGAGGGCTTTTTACGTCCGGCGCCCAAGGGCAAGAAGAGCGCGAGTCGGGAGCGAATGGCATCATCGAAGAAGAACGCGAACTGGGAAGGAGATTGGTGATGATGATGGGATGAGGAAATGATGGAAATGTGGCACATGTACATATAGCGTTGCATAGGATGGCGTCTGTGGGTTGCATACCATGGCGTTACTCTCGGGTTGAATGACGAACATTGTATCATTAACATGTCCTACTTGGTTGGCCAAACCATGGATTCGCACGATGAGCTGCGCTAGCATTGATGGCCATGAAACCAGCTTTGATGTTCCCATTTTTAGGAGGCACTCGTCCCTCATTTCACGGGATCAACTGGGATCTGTCACGTGCGGTCAGTGATCTCACTTGACAGCGTCTCTGCCAGGCAATACAGCAACTTACGCTGCAAGAAAGAAGCTAAAGTCTCTACACGGTCAAAATTATACAGGAGCGCAGGAAAGGAGCGTGTCACGAAACTAGACCAGCAAGATGGATGAACATCTAACCAGCCCTCACGCAACACGCAGTAACTGCTACAAATCCTGCCTCTACCCAATCTAAACCGCGCGCTTCCTTATCCGCACCGCCATCTTCTCATGGAACCCCAACCTGCCAAACGCAAGTTGCGGTACAGGAGGCAACTCTTCCCCCTGCACAACCTCGACCTCACACAATTGCAACTCAAACTCTGTGAGAAAGACAGCCAACGTTGCCGCCCGAAAGGCGTGGGCGAGTTCCTCCCCTAGGAGTGCAGCGTCCTGATCGCTTTCAAACAAGGCGAAAATTTGCTCGAGACCTTGCATGGTAAATCTGCCAGACTCATGTCTCCGCTGTTGAGACTGCCTCGCCAGCGCCGTCCTGTCGGGTACGAGGAAGCGTCCCGGCCAAAACTGAGTCAGAGCTTGCTGTACAGACTGCGGGACTGCACTGGTCCAGACAGGAGTGTTCATGGCCAAGTCGTGCGAGAAGGCTACTGCGGAGGCGCCCTTTGGGAGTTGCCAGTTTACGTCGAGTTCGCAGTCGCTGTCGAGGGTGCGGACAAGGCAGTTTGCGACGTGGAGGCGCTGGGTTTCCTTTTGGATGGCTTGGAGGAATGGGAGCCTTGTTAGCCCGGTTACGTCGTATTCGCCTGAGTTGGAGGCGTGGAATTTGGCGATTTCAGGGGTTAGGCGCTTGGTGAGGGAGTCGTCGCGTAGGATCTCGATTAGGGACCAGAAAGAGGGGGGTACTACGCTTGTGTTTAGACTGTTACCATGTCAGCCTTGCAAGCGTGTAAACCCTCCCTGGCTTGGGGCGTAAACGAATCTAGTGACGGGGTTTAGAGGAGCGTACCTGTGCATGATGCTCAACATCTCAGCAGCACGTGCGCGGACATTGAACCCCTCCAGCTTTGCAAGCACGTCGTCTCTTTCCTGCAGAAACTTGGACCCCTTGTCTTCATCCCAGGCGGGATCCTCTTCGCTGATTCTGGCAAACTCAGATCCGCTGTGGTGGTTCTTGAGCCACTTCTCCAGGCCCTCGAGCATCCTGTCACGCGGTGCTTCGTAGGTGGCGGTCATGAGCAGACGCGACATGCCCGGCATGAAACCTGCCACCGCCTCATCGTAGGCCCAATAATCCTTCAAGAGCTTCCTGTGCTCCTTGAGGATTGCGGAGCCGAAAAAGGCCTCAATCGTACATCTCGTAATCACCTGTTGGAAAAAGGACCAGAAATCTTCAATCTGCGTCCAGAATTTAAATTGGAACATCTTGTCATTTAGGGATCGCGAGAGAGAAGTGGCATATACGTCCGTCATGTTGGCGAGTGCAGTGCCTGTCAAATATTTCCTGGGCAAATCTACGTGGGCATGTCGAAGTGCTTGTTTTGTGCTTGTGCTGGCCCCTCGACCTGCATAGAGGTCGAGGACAGATCTAGGGGATCCAAAGACCTCTCCGTACTTGTGCAAGTCAATCGCATCTGGAACCCCTTGCTTTGAAGCTTGCATCACCTTTTCAATGTGCCCGGGATCTCGAAGTACGACAAAAGTCTGGAGGCCTGCCCTCACGACGAATGGAGCCGAGGTTCCATACTCCTTTCTTTGTCATTCTTTAGCGGAAGGTAACGGCAAGAGGCGATGATCAAACACGTACAGCAAAGTAGCGAAATACTTTTGCGGGCCCTCGTATGCTAGACTAAACGCATGGAAGATACCTGCAAATAGATATGGTATAGTTGGAGGCGTTTTTCTAGATGCTTTGCTGTTCACCTGGCGGTAGAATAGTAGTGTGGAGATGTAATAGGTGAGAAAAGGGAAGAGGATAAGACAGGACAGGAACAAAAGCATTGCTAAAATAGTATTCTCACAATGTGCACAAGTTGAAGACTTAGAAACTCACAAGACGCGTGTTCAGACGAAAGAAGGTCCCTGTAGATATCCTGACCGTCGGAAGTACCTAGCCCTGTACCGGTTACCCTAGCCCTGAACCTAGTAGGCTAGCGGCGGTCCAGATCCACGCTATCACGTGCACACCCGCAACGTCTGTTAAATGATCCAGGCCTCCCTCACCCATCGCATTCCCACCACGCACTTACAATGCCCTCGTCAGACTACACCACCGCCACGGGCGGCGCTCTAAAACTAAAAGGCATCGGCGGCATCGACAAAACCAAAAAGAAGAAGAAGAAACTCTCAAAAGCAACCACCGAAGCCTCCATTCCCGCCCAAGAACCCACTGCCACAACCAGCGAAGTCGCACCCCGCACCTCATCAGGCGATGATGCTGCAAAATCGCAGTCCGGAACTCCCGGTCGCTCGCTCTCGCCTGAGGCTGCAGAGCGCTCGTTTAGAGAGGGAGCTGGGGGCCGTAGGAAGACGGAGGCGGAGCGCAGGCACGATGAGATGCGGCGCAAGCGGTTGGAGGAGAGGATGAGGAAGGAGGGGGTCAAGACGCACAAGGAGAAGGTGGAGGAGTTGAATAGATATCTTAGTGGGCTGAGTGAACACCATGACATGCCAAAGATTGGGCCGGGTTAAGACTGCATGGGGTTGTCGGGATGGTGGGCTAAGATTTGTGATCGAAAAGATTTTTTTTGGCATCCATATATGAACGCGCGGAATTTCTGTAGTGAGTGAAGAGTATGAGATGTGGCTGTTGGTAAGGAGTTAGGAATTCATGGACATGCAGCCGGGTCAAGAGTTTGTGGATCCAGAAGACATGAGCACAAGAGCAAGAAGACATGAATATGAAGAAGAATAAGACCTCACGACCGAGTTATGAGAAGTAAACATGTTTGGAACTCTACATCGATGCCATATCAACGACCCTCCTTTCATGTCCAAGTTACTGCCCCAACATTTCCCAAACATAACATGGTACAAAATATGGGTGTCACCCTTTTGGCGAACGCATGTAACATATTCACCTTAATTATGGCACAAAAACAACCTCGAACTTCCCAAGCCAAATCATCATCACAAGGTCGGCGGTGAACTTGTAGTCCAGCACCAGCGAGACACAAGCTCATCACTCAGTTGGCTTTGATTCTTGAGCCGCCAAAGAGAACATGGCTCAAAGTCTTCATACTTAAGCAGAAGAACTCACGAGCCAGGATGAGGTGCAAGAAAACAGCGAGTTGGCGGGAGATGGGAGGTGTATATACACATGCTGCACTGCCCCCATCAAGGCAGGCCAGACAGCGGTGTGGGAGTAGGACCAGGTACCAACGAACGGACTTCACACAGACACCTGGATTTAGAAGGCGCCGACTACTCCGAGTAGTTGCATTTTGAAGAGCGCGCTGTTCACAGCGGTAAAGAGGCGGATGTCCGTATGCAGGTTGGTGTCACGAGGAGATCCCATCTGATACCCTCTTCTTAGCGCTCAACTGCAGCATCTCCGACGCAGACTTGAATAGTGTTTTCCTCACGCCTCTAGTTAATGATGAAGTCTCGCACATCCGCAGAGTGCACTCGATTCATCTTCAATACCACACCACGGCCTTGCGCTTACGCCTTGAGCGTTCTCGGTCTTTGAGACACGGTCGCATGTACCTCAGCCACCACCTTGGGCACGTACTCAAGCTGCAGGGCAATGGGCAATCACACAGCACCAAACATGTTTGCTCGCTGACTTGGTCGCAAGAATTGTAGAAGCGGACTTGGAGTCGGAGTCGGACCATGCACGACGGGAGCGGGGAGATGTCTTGATGTGGGAGGCGAAGCGCGCAGGAGTGTTTGTAACGGCCTTTTGGGAAAAGGGAAGCCAGAGTGTTTGTTTGGCGCAGGCCAAGTGGATGGGCATTAGTTTCCGTGAGATTCGCTTCGTCAGACGTATCGGTCGAGCTTCATGCTGAAGGAGGCTCAGCCTATCAATTCCGCCTTGTATTTCCAGGCCAGGTCTTGACGATTGCCTGTATTTGTAGTATGTACCCACAGTGAATAATTTTACAGAGATAAAGATAGCACGAAAATGCCGGCTTACATAGGTTGTCGTGTCGAGACAGGCGTTCTTGGATGATTGGATTCAGTCAAATAACTCCTGTCTTCACCGATTGCCATCGAGTCATTGACAGTACCGATGGTATGTTCGCACAGGTCTCTGTCTGCAGGCATCCTTTGTAGCCTTCTACCATCTTGGAGGCAGTATCCCAGTCACCGCGAGGATTACCCTCCCTAGTTGCCTGCTTTTTAGGTATTTCCTTGCTATAACGGTAGAAATATATGTACTAATATTTGAATTGTTTGACTGTACAGTGCTTCTGTGATGGTACCAGCGAAGCCCAAGCTATTAGCGCAGGTACCGATTACTGCAACTCCGGCGCAATGTTCTTGATGGCAACTTGGCAAGCTATATTGTGGATTTAAACGCTCCGATAGTCTTGGAAGCTGCGAACATGCCCGTATCTTGCCGGAAAGAGGGAAAACAAATGCTTGGGCCAATGGCTGCCGACAAAATTGTCGCACTGGACCAGTTCATCGGTCAATGTTCGGTGAAAACTGCTTGCAAATTGTCACTGTCTCGTTCTATATCGCCGGCCGAAAAAGGGAAAAGTGGTTGTGGGAAGATGAACCAGATAATTGGAAGTTGACTATTTTAGCTACATACTTCAGTCAAGCAGAAGATCGCACAAAAAATCACTGGCATTAACTGAATGCCTTCAATGCGATTTTGATGCAAACTTGGATCTCGATGCATAGCTAACGTATTACTGTCCGAGCATCCTACTGTCAGCTACCTAAATTTTAATCTTTCTTCCGGCGCTGGAAGGACAGACGGACGTAAGCTTTAAACTATGTTACTATAAAGTAGTGGAGATATGTACTCCTGGTGGGTTTGTTTGTACGAATACTCCCCCCTAAATGGATTGCTAGCTTCAAAATTTCTTGTCTTGTAAAAGACCAGCAGATAATCAGTGCCACCCTTTTACGATAGCAGTCAGGTTAGGGGTGTGCCTTTGGAATAGGGGGCTTTGAAATAGTGGGTTGAGGCTGTGTGGGCGGAGATTAGAGGCTCTGTCCTAGGGTAGACTACACGCAAATCAATACTACTTTGTATGATATATCATCACATACGTTTCCTAAAAATCTCTCCGGGCGCACAGGTTTAGAAATTCAAGTCTTGAAACTTTGTCAGTGCAATAAATAGTCCGCCAAAATATCCTCCCGAAGCATACCGGTTCAGACATCAAGTCTTGTAGCACCTGCTGGCAACTGGGTATATAAATTTGTCATTATCCACAACCACTTCTGCTTCGAAATCAGCAAAGACATACATCTATCTTCAAGCATCTTATCAACCCTTCTATAAACATCCTCTTTACGCTTTCAAGTCCCACTGTCAGTCACTATGAAGCTCAACTTCCCAACTTGTGTTCTCTTGCCACCTTGGTCTCTGTAAGTATAATTCTTTGTACTCAGAGGCGTGCTTTCTGACAGTTGGACAGGGAAAAGAAATGGTTTGCCTGTGTCTTAGCGATGTAGCAGATCAAGGTTATGCAACAGCAAACGCTTGCTGCACGGGGGGGGGGCGAAAGGGCGGCTTCACGTTTTCCGATAGCTCAATCCGCAAAGGAACATATTGGAAAGGACAATGCACTGTGGACTGTGAAATTACCGCACGGAGCTACCGCACAATCGGCGGAACCATCATGGATTCAGTGTTGCCACGCAAGCCCCGTCACCGGTATTGGGGGAAGCATTAATGGTGGACAGTGCTTTGACCCCTAGGAACGATAGGATTGCAATTGTAGCGATCTATTCGGGGGGAATGGGGCGAGTACACCTTTGCAAACGTGTTGTTGTGCGGATTCCATGGAGGTGACTGGGCACGTACAATACAACTCAAACATTCTAATTTAAGTTAATGTATTGTAACCCACACTGACCTGTACATCAACCCGTGTACCGCAAAGTTCCTCTGCTCCTATCTCTTTCATGATCCAATCATCCCATCGAACTGAATGTCTGAACCGTCAGGAACACAAATCACCATGTCTTGTGAATTCTGCATAGCTTGAAGCAGGGGAATCTTGTGGGATGCGCGTTACTGAATATGGCTTGAGTATCGCTCATACCTAAAGCATATCCCTGAAAAGATATGGAACGTACATGGGAAATTTGAGAGGAAAGACCCGTGTTGAAGTAATGGTCTGGCCTGGCTCACTGTCTAGATTGGGCATCTCTTGATACGTTTTGATAGTACATGGGCTACCTGAGCGTCGTTCGGCCCAAAAGAGCAATAGGAAGATGTATGTAAGGTAGACAATACGGGCTAAAACAGTAAGAAATAGTGGTGAGTATAAAAGTACAGAATAGGCATGATCACGAGACCACATTGCACATTGTGTACAACGGAGATGGAAAGAAACGCCTCTTAGATTCATATACCATTAGGTAGTGCAAGGTATGTCAAACGCCACGCTGTAAATGCTCACGAAACGGCTGTGATCAGAAAAAGGGCCATGGTGGAGCCATGAGAGGAAGAATCAAAGCTCAAAATTGTCCAACCAATGCTTGATGACGACCCTTCCCTCATCAAAGGCTTTTCTGTCCATACGAACAATGATTGCGGCATGCGAATGTCGGTGGTTGTGGATGAACACGGGATGTTTCTTGAAACCGACATCATCGAGTGCTTCGATCATCTTGAACTGATCCTGCGTCAGTGCCAGCGTAGGAAATTCAAGAACCATGTCTTCTTTCCCAGGCTTCTCTACCGACGTCACGTCAGAGTATAATTGCTTGCGTGTCCAGCCTGGCGAAGAGGGTTGTGTCGGTGATGCTACTTCCTCGCTACCTGCACTCAGGTAGTCCTGGCCCTGACCATTGTTTACGTTTTCGAACATATCTTCAACGTTTTGGCGCGCAGCGTTGATCATTAATGGGACGCGATACCGGCTTGCATCAATACCGGCTCGGCCTTCGGAGTGCAGGCGGATTCGCTGACTACTACGAATATGTTGTACAGCGCTGTTCATCAGGTATAGAGTTGAGCCAATAGGTATGAACACAACTAGGAACGCTGTCATGGCCACTCTCCCTAGTATCGTTTGCGTTCCAGACGTGAGGCGTTGTGCGAAGGCCTGTGGTTGCTCGAGCTCCTTTGGTGAGACTGGGTTTTCTCCGTCAACAATAACATTGTCGTATCCAGGTAGGTAATTGATTTTGACCAGTTCCGGTTTCACAAATGGGTCGGTTTGTGAGATGCCTGCAGTGTAGTACGTGACTGTCCTGTCGTTAACGACATTCGCGTAAAGACTTCTATGCTTGAATTTCGCAAGCGCCTGGATGAAGATGCTCTCTGGATCTGCAAGTATAGAGAGAAGTGACCGGCCAGTGTCCCTAAACTTGTCGATGCCAAACAGTTGTCTCCCGCTCATCGACAGCGTTCGCGCTCCCAGTACATTCCAGAGGTGGCTATGGTAGCCTTTGAGCGGCGTTCGTGTTCCGAGATGTGGGGTTGCGAATGTTGTGAAGTTCTGCTGTGGTCAGGAAAGAAGGTTGGGAAGCTCTTGACGCTAGTCACTCACCACTGGCTCGATTCTCTCGAAGAGTCCCTTGTGGTAGAGCAAGCCGACTGCATATCGTGCAATCAGTCCACCAAAAGAATAGCCAGTAAAGCTAATTTTCGTTATGTCGTGACCAGCCATGGCGAGCTCATCCAGCTTTTGCTCCACCTCATCCGCAACTCGTTCCCCGCCGGTGTCAGCGCCATCGTACGTAAAGTTGCCCGCGTTGCGCTTCGCCACCAGGACATGTAACTTGTCTTCGGGGTACCTTTCGCGCAGTGAGGTGCTAGCAAACTTGAGGTGGTCTGGGTTTCCCCATAGGCTTTGCTGGTGGTGAGTATGGTACGCTTTCCTATTTATGGTGCGGAGGCGACAAGGCCCGCAGGAGGGTCAACGTACCCGTGAACGAGAACACAGAGATGGTTTGCCTTCGTGACTGGGACCGTGGTAGTAGAAGTCGCCATGGTTGCGAGGAGTGAAAGAGTCCTGGGCTGCTCAGGCGAGGAAGTGGCCATGTAGATAATGTGTAGGGGCTTCCTTACGCTTTCATGTCGTCGCCTTGTCGGGCACAGGCAGCAAGCTTATCAGACACTGCGACGGAACGCAGTTAAGAAGGGGCTTATCACCGCAGCAGCAGCAGCAGCAGCAGCAGCAGCAGTGAAACCTTATCATGTAATGGCCGGGGGTTCGTCGGTCCCGTATGTGTGTGTGTGTGTGTGTGTGTGACAGCATGCGAGTGCAATGAATGGCTCTGTGCCACTGTGCAGCCTCGTTGTTTGCCACCGGATAGTGTAAGTCTGTGTCGTTAGTTTCGGGATTGAATTCCTCGTCGATGCGCCAATGAATAGGGCTAGGGCAACGTCGTCATGATGGGAAATTCGCGGGCCACGGGCCGACCAAAAGTCCGTCTTTCCCCTTGCAGGTCTAGCGCGTGTTCGGATAAGATTCCGCCCAGTCCAGGACGCGGCCGCGCCGTAAGGCTGAACCTCCTGTTGGAGCCAACTTCATCGTTCCACAGTCCACAGTCCACTGCCTTCGCCTTCACCTTCACCTCAGATCAAGAAAGCTTGGCATCTGTCGTCCTGTTCTATATACATGGTTGTCCGTTGTCGGCGTCCTCAACGAGATTCTTACTGGACTGAGGACGCGTTTTCATTCGGCGCGCCCAAAGGCCTGAGCTTCTTCCTTGCCCGGCAGCCATCGCTAAATGAAGACGCCTTGACGTGCATCACTTTTTGCTCCTCTGATCATTCACCCACTTCAGCTGGGCTGCGTGCGGAAGTCTACGGCTCGTTACATCCTCTAGTGTGCACACCGAATACGCCACAAGTATTACAGACAGTTAGAAATTGGATTTGGCCGGTATGCCCTGATTGCAAGCTTAAGCTGACTTTGTTGCAACATTTCAAGTTATGCTACATCCATCATGTGGCCTTCTGTCCCAGCACATAGGAGCTTTGGGAGCATTGCATGTCCCTCAGGTACCCGATGTGAATTACCTCACTGCATTTTTCGTCATGAAGCCCCCAAGCCATCACCTGTCCGCCTATCACCAGTACCAACGGTGGCGGCTCTAGATCTAGAGCCACAACCAAAACGACAGAAGCTGGATGAGAGTGTAAAGGAAGCCAATACAGGGCCTGTAGAGCAAAGCCCGGTCAAGCCCAATGTCTTTGTCGGATTAACCTTGCCTAACTCCAAGGAGTCGCTATCAACAACAAGCAGGGGAACACCGAACGACCAAACATCAACTTCGAAAGCAACTGTTGACATTAAAGGTCCATCATCGCTACCAGCTTCAGTGACAAGACCGGTATCACCGCCAACAACCGCTGCAGCAAAATCTCAAGCCAAGCCTGAAGCACCTATGCCGCTGATGCCACGCAAACTCGTAAAGGAGCCAGCCACATTTACCAAGCGAGTAACCCTACTCAAAGCATTACATTCCTACATGAAGCCACAAAATGAAAAGCTTCTCAAGGCAAAACAGCCAGAGGTCAAGGCTCTGCACTTGACTCCCAATCAGCTGATCAAGCTTGCGGTGGACGAAGAGGCGAGGATTGCTAGTGTGAACCAAGCCGTATATGAGAACGAACTGAAGCACCGGTTAGTGAGGCTCAAGAATATGACTCCTGAGGTTTGGGTCAAGGAGAGACGAGAAGCTTTGGCGAAAGAAAAGGGAGATATGCCTAAGAAACCCGCGCAAAAGAAAGTTGACACAGGCCTCACTCCGAAAGAGGAAATTGCGTTTCTTTCTCTGCTCAAATGTCCACTGGAAGGATTGAATGCCCATGGTTACGTTACCGAGTTGCCGGCAGAAAAAGACCTCATCGAGGCACAGAAGACACTCGACGCATCGGATTTTTGGGAGGAGTGTGATAGGTGCAGCACACGTTTTCAGGTCTTTCCCGATCGTAGAGAAGAGGACGGCGCTCTCACAACTGGTGGCCAATGTAGACACCACTGGGGCAAACGCATTTGGCCAAAAAACAAAAAGAATGCCGCTGTTCCAGAACCCACGAGGCTGACCTGTTGCAACGAAGCTGTTGGATCACCAGGCTGTACGACCCACGAAACTCACGTTTTCAATGTCAAGAGTCCGAAGCGCCTCTCACTGATCATGCCGTTCATGAAGACTCCAGAGAACGACAAGGCTCCACCGCACACGGCAGTGTGCTTCGACTGTGAGATGGGATACACAACGAATGGCCTCGAGATGATGCGATTGACCGTCGTCTCGTGGCCCACACACAAACCTATCATAGACGTCCTAGTTCGACCATTAGGGCACATATTAGATGTCAATACGCGCTTCTCGGGTATCACAGCGGAGCAATTCCTGAATGCAAAGCCATTCGACCCCGCAGACCCGAAACCGGTGCGCAAGGACTTGCGCATCGTGGACTCGCCATATGCAGCACGCGAGCTCTTCCTTTCTCACGTCTCACCAACAACGCCAATTCTAGGGCACGCTCTCGAAAACGACCTCAACACGATCCGTCTGATCCATCCTACAATTGTCGACACTGTCTTACTCTACCCCACGCGTCAAGGTCTACCATATCGCCATGGACTCCGTGCCTTAGCGAAGATGCATCTCGGAGAAAACATTCAGCAAGGAGGCGCAGCTGGTCACGACAGTTACGAGGATGCAAGGACTACTGGCGAGCTGGTTAGGTTCAAGATCAAGGAGCAATGGAAGTCGATGAAGAGTGATGGATGGATGATTAAAGACGATGGCGTGTTTCCGCCTGTGCCTGCAGGTACTCCCCCAAAGAAAGCTGAAATGCCTGGGTTGGTGCCTGTGGCCACAACAGCGGTGCTGCAGGGAACTGCAGCACAGAAGCGGAAGCTGGAGGAAGATGATTGGGAGGTGGATACGGGAGAGGATCCAGCGGCGAAAAGGAAGGCATAGCGACCTTGAGACACTCTGCAATTACATGGCATATGGAAACTCTGAAGTATTTTGGGTATGATGTTTTGATCGTAGAGTCTGGAGAGCCTATATATGATCAACGAGGACGATTGATCCGCGATTATACAGGGAACAATCTCATGCACACTGCATAGGTGCTAGATGATCTACTGCCTCAATACCAGCTGAACCATATTGTGCCTCGGGCGCCTGCCTCTAACCAGCGACACGCACTTCTATAGCCGTTGTTGCATGTCTTCCCTTGCGTTCCGTAGACTGTCATGAATTTTCCCCATTCAAGTGGAATGAGGCCATGGCCAATTCTGGAAATCCCATCCAAAGCCTTATTCATGTCCTTAAGTGAATTTTGCTCTGCATCCCGCTGAGTTGGTATCCCATCTCGTTTTGCCCCTCAGCTCTTCACCACGACTCCCTGGTTATCTAGGACCAAACCTTGCACACCCTCCAAACTCTCCTTCACTGGCTCATACAACACATCAACATCCAAATCCTTCATCACACCAATCACAACGCCCACACTCTCTATGAATCCATTGACTGCGACGCGTAACATGCGATTGGTTGTTGCTGCATAGTTGACTTGAAGAACGGACTGCTCAGTCGAAGTCTCGGGCGTGGTGAGAGAAAATGCGCGACGCACAAGAGGCGAGAGTTCCGCGTCGACTGCCAGTACGCGTTGCGCTGTGAGGGCGAGGTGGTGGGATGGGAAGGGTATGTGTAGTGTGCTAAATCCGCAGCGTCAGCCTGATCCCCCCCACCCCGTGCATGCTGTAAGAGTTTCGAGAAGGGACAAAGGCATACAGTGTGCAAGGGAAGTCCTCCTCCTTCCAGGTCTCCTTATTCCGCGCCATGGCTGCACATGTAGCTCGCTTGGCTGGTCAAGGTGTTTTCCCTTGAGGCTGAAAGATGCAAAATGCGGGGGAGGGTTGTGAGGCTTGATTGGGTTTAGTTTAGTGAACTGTGGCTGAAGCTGCCACTCGGGAGCTATGGTAAGTTTGGAGCGTATGATATCGTCATACTTCATCATCATTCCGCATTGAGAGGCCACCAAGGCATATCTTTGCACAACGGGCGCGAGCGGGTCATGGGGTCTGGAAAGGGTTCTAGCGATGGTGGTCTCGCTTTTTTGCTGCTTTTTACATACCACAAACCACCTTGAATACACTCATACAAACAATCGATACTGTTTCTACACTAGTCACCTGTGTAACTACAAACACACCATATACCTTTGCTCGGCCGAATTGATACTTCACGATACACGATTCCACAATGTTCACTCGCAACCTCACCAATATGTCCGCGCGGACAATGCGCGTAGCATCACGTTCAGTCCCAGTGTCTGTAGCGAGGCAACCATTGAGCACAAACTCGAAGACGAAGACGGACAAATACCCAGATGATAAGCACGTGGTGAACAAGACAAAAGAGGGTGATACATACAATATCCATGAGAGTAATACCAAAGAAGCTCTGGAGTGAGTAATCAGTTCTTATCATCTTCTGCACATAACGCATGCGCACAGGCACTAACACCTCCTTCCAGCTCCGCAGATAAAGGCACAGGCGGCACGGCAGTTTCGGGCTCAGATAAAACAGGCGCAGTTGACAAGGCAAAAAAGGATTTTCCTGCAGCACCTGACCCAGCGATTGGCATGCAAGATGAGAGGGGCGGAAAGGGCTACTAGAGGACCATAGATCAGGAACGTGGTGCAAGAGGAGCAGGCGATTATAGGACATATGGACATTGTTCAGTTCCTACAACGATCGATCAATCAAATAACTGATGGCCAGCTGAGCATTTCTCTCAAGAGTTGAGAGATTGCCATTCGACATTCTTTCCTGAAAACATGATGGCACACAAATCGTACAAAGCCAGTCCAAGGTTTTGCAATATCTCTTCCCTCGCGCGGATCCCGTCTTGTCAAAGTAAACGCTTGGTCGGAAAGATCAGGCACGTTGCGCCGTACTACAAACCACAAGGTCCGTGAAACTCACACGCGCCCGTGCGATGAGACCAAGGGCAAATCACACAGATAGAGTAGTACATGCACGAAATCCCCCTATAAAGGCCTACGGCACCAAGCAAACATCGGTTCTGGAGTAGAACTGGGCAGAATCCCGGAGTGATACAAGAGCAATGTCCATCGATATATCACCACGTCTAATCCTGACAGAGTAACTCGTGCTTCGTCTGACATGATTTGAGGTAATAAGTTGCTTTTCTCGCCCTGGTCTTCTCTGACTCCTTTCTTGTATTTCACCACATATCTCTCCTCTTACCACATGAACAGCTCTTTACACACTCCCCCATCCCTCCCACCTCGTCAAGAAGAAGCCAAAATATGCATACTTTGTACACACTATCACAGCACCCTATGCGACTCTCCACGGTTCTTTCCATCTCCCTGAGCTTTGCATTCGCACTCGCACGCACATTCCCCGCCCCACATCAACCCCAGCAGCGAAATTCAGGACCCTTGGCCATACCGCCAAGGCACAGCACGACTCTGAACGACGAAATGCAGATACAAGGCAAATGCACAGGATGTAGGGATTTGATTCGCGCCTGTATAAAGGTGTGTTCTATGCTCGTTGCTCGTTGCTCTGCTCTCTGTCTGGCTAACGAGAACTCGTAGAATTGCAGAAAAGAGGCGGTGTTGTGTTTTGGCGAGTGTCAGTGTGAGGTGTCCAAGCTGGGTGGGTTTTGTAGGGATGAGTGTAGGTTGGGGTGTTTGTGAGTGGGAGAGGGTGGTGCAAAGGGAGAAAGGTGGGAATGGAGGAGTGATGGATATTCTTGTTGAATCGTTGATTGGCATTTCCCCAGCATAGTATTGCTACCTACAGTACCCCTCCATCTTCATCACCTTATGATTCTAACCGAACCGTCGAACAAGTTTACAAGCGACACTGAAACAGATATCCATCCAGCATCAATCTCGTAACCCCATTCCAAAACAATAATTCCAGACCCGTCATCTCACTTCCCCCCCCCCCCCTCTGAGCATCTTACCTCGTTACAATTTCCACAAACAATAAGAGTGCCACTCTGCTTAAGCCTAGCAAGTCCATTATCAGATTTTGATGTCAACGGCCTTGCTCTCAACATCTTAGCGATATGTGCAATGGATGCCACACAGGCCTAAAGTCTACCAAAGACTACCGTCTGCCATACCCGTGGGGCGGGGCAGTGCAGTACCGGTATTCCGGTGGTTCATGGAGATGCTAACCTGCTACTGCGGTTGTAAGTCATATTTGTAAATGTAGATGTAAGTATGATATTTAGGATAAAAGTGAGGACAGCACGAACACACGACTACAAGGTATCTTTCTAGCCAAGTTACCGGTATTGTATTTCCAGCTAATCAAAGCATGAACCCTTCACACTGCGAGCTTCCATTCCACAGCGTGGAGAAATTCTGACGGATACAGTACAACAGTAGAACCCACGAGTCCTGATCGTGCGGAGAATGCCTGCCAGACGGCCCACAATCGGACCAGGACCAGGACCAGGACAAGGACCATGTGCGGAGGAGAAGCAAAGGGCATGGATGTTGGAGGCTAGTGAGGAGAGGGGAGTGTGGGTTCTTGATGCATGTTTTTGCCTTGGCACTGCCTGTGTAGGTACAGTACATACAACTTGGTCCACGGTAACTCCTCCTGTCCCTCTTCCCACACCAGTGGCGTTTCAACACCATGTGTCCGAGTAAAACCAGAGGGCTGTCTACGGCGGCTCCTTTGAATTCGAATCGAAGAGTGAGCTTTCATCATCATGTGCACATGCTAGGAGTAGCAGTGCATGTGAGGTAGGTAGTCCTAGACTTGGATATGTAGTCACGCAAATGACGTCTAGTGTACCGCATATAGCACTGGCAAACGCGGATGACAAAGCGCTGTTTTGGTAAGTACCAGGAGCAAAGATTGGAGACTGCAATAGGTACTGGTATGGTACAATAGGTGTGAATTTGAGCGGGCCTTTGGACTTGACGTGCAGCCGTGGAAGTGTGGAGAAATGAATGGGACTGCGGGGAGGTGTTGTGATGGTTTGATTGTTTACCGGTACCTCTTGCAGGAAACGGGACGGGGATGCGACAGCAGCGGGGAGATAGGCAAGGCAAAGCTGTTGGATATTGATGTCGATATTGATAAGGTGATGAACGCGGGTTGGCTACCCACCTTGAAGTGGCCAGTTGCATTCATTCCTAGATTGCACCGTACCGCGACCACGACAGCCGCGATTGCAGGCCCAAAATCGTTGCAGTAGGTACTGTACGGTACCATGCGCCATGGTCGTCGAAAGCCAGCCAGGCCTATTCCGCGATCCCCATCACAATCATCGATGCCACTATTCCCCCCTTTTGAAACATGCTGTCTGTTGCTCATTCCCGGCCATGGGCGATACATTGTATTTGGGCAACTCGAGCCGTGCAACGAATCGCTTGTTCCTGCAACAAACAAACACCGAGCCTATTTGCCTCTTTGGGACAAACCCCCCCCCCATTCCTAAAGTGGGTGCACGTTAACCCCCAAACTCTCTGCCTCGCGAGCCAACGTCGGGGATCGACGAAGAGGTTTTCCTTTTTCCGTGTGGGCGATGCATTTCGTCAGTGGCGAAAAAAGTGGATTTGTTTGCTGTCGGATAATTAGGGACCGGGTACCTAGGTATATCACCAGCGGCAGTCTATCGCATATCAGTACTCTAGTAGTATGATGACTTGGTGAAATGAGCTTTCTTTTACGGAGATCGATGATCGGGTGTTTGCCAAATGAAGGACCTGGAAATGAAGTGAAATGAAATGACATTTACTTGTCGACCCTCGGCGACCTGTCATGACACGGTGGAGTGTTCCGCCAACCAGCTGCCTTGACGAGGAAATGTCGTCAACGCCCATGGGAGGGCCATGCCCATGAACAATTCCCAATCACCACACTGAACACGAGAGAGAGAGAGACGGAGAGAGAAAAGAACGGTCCATCCAATCCAAGCCTCGTTGTCCGTCTCGGCAAATCACCCTCGCTCATTCACACAAAATCCCTCCCCCTCGCTCCAAAATTCAACCTCTCCTCTTGGTTCGCTGGCAAACCAACGGGTGGAAGGATGTGGGGGCGCTCTTGTTTCAAGCATGCAACATGCACAAATCCGGCGGCCGCATGGCAATGCAGGCTGGGAGTAATGCTGCCGGGAACCGAATACGCCAATGGTAGGTGGGGACCCACCGCATGCATTTCTTCGGTGCAGACTCCCACAAACGGTCATCGACTCGTGGCACTCATGGGGCCAACGTTCCTCTTCTTCGCTCTTCTGTTGCGCGGTCATCGTCACAGTAATATGGCTCGTTGAATCATCGGCAGGTCTCCATGATCTGAGCCTGATGGATTCTCCGTGGCTGTTTTGATGAGTGCTGATGGCATGCTCTTGTCCTGTCATTCCATATAGTATACTAGCAAGAATTGTGCTTGGCGTCTCGGATACCTATCATCTGCCTAGGCACCTACTGTACAGCAAGCCGGTAGAGTACCAGAGAAGAACAAAGTGGTGTGTTGAGTCAATTGTCACACTACCTACCCTACCTACTACCTACTCTACTCTACGAGCACAACACCACCAGACCAAGGCGCCTGATCTTTCCCTTGCACAGCGACGTTGACGTGCATATAGCAATTCGCCACATTGACAACACGCATGTGCAAACGGTATATCAAACCGTGACCTGCCTTTGATGATGATGAATAATGAACATGGCCTGACCAGCCATGTCGGTGTCCTCCAAAGCAGCCGCTTCCATGATGATCTCCGCGGGCCAACACCTGAACGCTGCGGGGGTACAGCGGGCAGTCGGTGGCTTGGCAGCGGCTCGTTGCATCGTCTGTGTTGATCGTTCAGCATCTCTCTATCGTGACGAGGCTGGTGATCGAGATGGTCCGGCTTGAATCGTTGTCAAGACGCCCTCCGGGACAGGGATGTGCGTGGGCAACGGACAACCATGCCACGCCGCCACGGACCTGTGGCTCCGCTGTTTGGCGCGAGCCCGCCATTTTGCGTTGATCACTGGGGCATCCTAGGCACTTTAGTCGGCGCTATTTGCCCAGCTTGATGTTGATCTGCCTGCCGTACCGTACCTGCTGTCATACACACAACTACAGTGAGGAATTCGAGCAGGCTGGCGTTTACCGCGGTGATGGACTGAAAGCACAACGGCCGTGTAGTAGTATACTTGTGTGCAAACACTGGAATTACAAAAGGGACCTTGAAAGTTCCACAGCGACTGCTCTAGACCGTAGACGGAACTGTTTGCTCTGACTTGATTTGTAATGCTACGAAAGACTCCGTCGTCTGTCTCGCTCAACGCCCATGGTGCGGAGCGCTTGGTACCAAGCTGTGGACAGACGAAAATGTACTATGTAAAAAAGCTGATGGGCTGTGAATGATGTCGACAAAGCAATAGCTAGTCATGCTCCAGCACTTGGACATGATCGGCGAAGAATGGTAATGAGCTGTGGACAAAGGAAAGGACCTCGGATAGAACGTCAAAAGTTGGCTAGGGACGTTCAAATGATCCATTGATTCAGGGAATTTTTTGTTTATGAAAAACGCCGGTGATGCTCCAATGAGATGGGTATGCAAAGAGATTCGTGAGGATGGGGCCGTAGTGATATGCCATGCTGTTTCGGGCTATGCTACGGCTTGTCTCCAATCGGCCAGTCAACTGCTACTGACTGCGGTGGCCCGACTGTGAGGGTAGTCACCGCGTCGCAGAGCTTCGTTGCGGATGAGATTCTCGACGTGTTTGGTGGCCTCGTTTGGATTGACACCGGCGGTAAGGTAGCCGTCAGTCTCATGCTCAAGTTCCAGTGGGGTGACGGCGCCAGGGCTGGCCAAAGGTGCCAGACGAGGACTGGTTGGCCCATGGCCGGTGCCTTGGGGATGACGGGTGTTGGCCAAAAGTTGCTGTTGGTAGAGGTACATTTGCCTCTGGACTTCGTACTGTCTGTTGTTGCCTCCACGGGGTGAAACTGGCATCTGTGGGCTATTGGGACCGGTCACGGGCGTTGCTGTGTGGCTTGAGTTTTGCGACGATGCGTAGTTGGCTGGATGGAATCGTGGCAGTGAGGGCAACCTGAGGTGGGCTGCGGGACCGCTGTTGGACGACTGACGTGTATTAAGTGCTGGCCTTCGTCGAGCCTGAGAGGGGATGTCGAGGGGTTGAGTCCGTGGGGAAAGAGGCGAGCTGATAGAAGGCATGTTACGGTCTCCAGTACGAGGCGACATGGTTTGGTGGTGGTGGGGGGCTGTCGGATCTGAAGATGACTCGGGAGAGCGAGGGAGATGGGGGTGTTTTCATGAAGGGGGTTCCTGGCAAGAGGCCTCTTGGAACTTTGTATGGAGGCGAAAAGGGTACGGCCCGGCGAGGCTATTCAATCGAATCCTTTACACGGGATGATGAGAGGCGGGAGGGCAGCTAAAGTAGCGTGGTAGTACCAAGTGGTAACGCACAGGGCGTCGTCCAATATATGTCAGAGCGAAAGGGTCCAGGAATGCTTGGGCCTTCGAGGACAAGCTGACGGGGGTGGCAGGGGCAGGTCGATCCGACTGAAACCAACAGCGCTGATCTTTGGCTCGCGGTAGGCCGTCGTGCTACGGTCTTCCTAAAAGGGACGGGCAGATGCGCAGCCTGACGGATCCTTGTCTCACTTGGGAGCTGGAAGGGCGAGGTGGTGGGATTGCTATGAAAACGGGGGTAATGTACATACACCACCGACTAGCGATGAAATCAGTCGCAATCTGTGTGCTGCGGGCCCGTGTGCTGCAGAGATGCGGAATGGCACCATCCGCCGACCTGGCTCCACAATATACGTGAGAGAGTGAGCAAAGGTGCGTTGGCTAGCTAAAGGCGGTAGGTAGGCGAGGGTTGGGAGTTTGTCGCGTAGGGCAACGTGGTAGGTACAGTAGTAAGTAAGTAGACTGACTACTCAGTACAACCGCGGACAGGCTCTTGTTGGCAAGTGGGGAAGAGAGAGAAGAGAGGGAGGGAGAGAGAGAGCGAGAGGGAGGGAATGAGAGCGGTAGAGTATCAGTAGAGTAGAGTAGAGTGTAGCAGAGCATAGTAGAGTACACAGTGGGGTATCGTGGGTATTTACCAGTACTGTAGCGATGCAGTAACACGGCAGACGCAGACCGCAACCTCGAGGTAGGTCCGCCGTTGAAGCTACTAAGTTGGTACCTACGTGTAGGCGCGGTGCCGTGAGTCTCCCTTGTCATTTCTCACAAGCGCCAGTTGCTTGGTTCCGCTGCGTGGTGGGGCTGCAGGTGGTGGTGCCGTCCCGCCCAAGAGAGTAGATAGAATACAAGGCCAGACTACTAACTCTCGGGGACGGATGCAATTGTCCAAGTCGCATCACTCTTAGCCATGACGCAACGCCAAAAGAAAAACAAAAGGCGCTTCGGGAAGCTCGGCTCTGGAATAACACGTGCTCGCCCAATCCCGGCGCTAAACGCGTGCAGCCTGCCACCACCTACCTACTAACTCTACAACCTTTTTTGTCTTGTGCTCGCACCAGGCCAACGCCAACGCCTTTGGAGGTAAGAGTACTCCTAGGCAGTCTGCACTCGACGTACATGCCGTACCACATCCCATGTCGTACAGCGTCCCTAGAGCAGCGACAAAGATGCCCTGCATTGCGTGCGGCCGCCTCTTGTCCCTTTGCCGGTTGGTTTCCTCTTCCACCTCGTGCACGTGCCCCCCCCCCCCTCCCTCCAAAAGAACACTTGTCCAGAAACCAAAAACAAACAAGCACTTGTCGGCACCTACAGTTAGGCTACTAACATGATACTACTCTCCAACCCACTCCACTTCACCGTACCTGCCCCTACCTACTGACTCTACTGTCTACCATGTACCTACAAAGGCCTCACCCCGCTACTATGGTGGCCTGGCACGGCGATACTCGAGTGTGTGCGCCACTCCAGTAGCCGATACCTATCTAATGTGCCGTGGAGAAACACAACCCCCCCCCCCACCCCATTTCGACTTGATTCGCATATACCCGACTCCATCACACTTATCAAACAAAATAAGGTATTCATCTACTCAGCTTGCGCTTTGTGGAAATGGAGCCTCCAGCCACACTCTTTTATTTTGGCTTTGTGTATCAAATGTGAACGCAACTCTGATCCTGCTTGAGCGTTACCAACTCGCCGTCATCTTGCCACCATGTATCCGTCACTAACACTCGGGCGTATGGCATTCCGTCAGCAACGCCATCCCGCATTCGAAACCGCATCACAACACCGTCATGAAGTCCTGTTAAAGTGCGCACTAGCAGTTGCCAAAAGAACCCGCCTCGGGCCTTCTGGACTTCCTCCGCTACCGCCATTCAACGAGCCTCGGGCACCACTTGTGGGCGGCATCCGCACCATTGGTTGCAGACAGCCGCAAAAGAAAACCCACTTGCAGACCTCAAGTTCCACAGCACGAGCGTCTCATAATCTAGGTACATGATGGTCAGCTAGGTAGGTACCAGAGGGACGCGTTTGACAATGTCCCACGGCGTCGTACTACATCTTCCGAGACCCGCCGTGGCCGACCATCATGTGTCCCCCCGCCGTCGGACGTGTTCGGTGAAGCTGGTGGGCGCCGGACAGGCTCCGAATAGCACACTCGCCGCATGGGACGGTCTGATAGCTCACAATCATCATTCCCTGCAAATAAAATACCCCGATCCCAAGCGAATTAGGGGATTGGCGAGGGCCGTGGCCGTGCCATGCCTACTACGTGAACACAACTGGGAAGCAAAGTCGGTGTCTACACCATGTCGACTATTTCATGTTGCTCTTACACGCTGACACCGATCAATGTCTGGGATCGTATCATTCGAGGAGTGGATGTCTGTTTGCTACAAGCACCGTCATTTCCAAATCATCTTGCACCTAGCTTCTCCAGCGCTCGCGATCCCTGTTCTTCCCATTCTGCCTTTGATATCCACATGTTCTCCTTGTCGGCCATCTAAGCGTAATCAGTATATTCACACAACCAAAAGGCCGATCGTCGCTTACAATATTCGCCAGTACAGCGCCACCAAGGAACACCATATGCCTTCGCCGCGGTGGGTCTTCGATACGGACCTTGAATTTCTACGCCGAGTTAGGACCCTTCATCGTATGAGATGCAGTGTGACTTACGCTCAATCGTTCTGGATTTCCGCCCAAGACCTTGGTTAACCAGAGCTGCTTCAACTCCTTCTCCAATCGGCTGGGCAAACCGGGGTACATGCTACTGCCACCACTTAAGACAATGGCTTTGTATAGACTGCTTCGAACGTCGACATCCGCGGCTTGAATAGTGTTGAACAGGAATTCCGCGATACCAGGCTGCTCCACATCGACAAGGTGGGGCTGGAACAGACATTCGGGAGCCTCAAATCGCTCACTGCCCACTCGGATGACCCGACCGTCCGGCAATGTGTATGATTCCACCAATACTGTGGTGTCTTCGCTGAGGCGTTGGTCCAACTCGAGATCGTACGATACATAACAAAGCTTCTCCTTGATCTGGCGAACAGTCTCAAAGTCGGCCGTTCGGTTGAGTGCGTATCCTCTCCGCAGAAGAAGGGCAATCAGATTTCGTGTGACGTCTCGTCCGGCCACATCAAGGCGGCGTGTGAGGTGGTTCAGGACAGTACTCTCGTAGACAGGGACAATATGCGTGACACCATCTCCTGAATCGACAACGACACCAGAGGATAGTCCTTGCGCGTACAAAGCCAACACAGCCTGAATAGCCACGTACACACCGCCAAAGTTGTATCGTTCGAACATGACCTCGCACATGGTTTCGCGGTTCTTGAGCGGATTCATGGGCGGCTCGGTCAGGAGGATCTTCCGGCCGGTTGGATCTACTTTCAGCTTCTCGAAGAATGTATAGTCCCATAGCTGTTGCATATCATCCCAGCGTTTTACAATGCCATTCTCCATCTAGAGGGCGTGGTACTTGATTAGCACTGCTCGAGGCCTAGCCTGAAGGGCCCATGAATGTGCACATACGGGATAGGTGATTTGAAGCATTGAGCGCGCTGCTGCCGCCTCCTCTCCGCACATTATGTCCTTCAATTGGATGTCCCCTGCATTCTGTTCTTCGGTTCGGAGAATGGGTCGGCCGACTATGGAAGGGTATTGGTGCTCTGGGAAGTTCTGCATAGCGCTTATGAGTGACACGGCTGCTGATAGTCCATCAGTAGAGGTAGCCTACCTGTCCCGCATAGCCAACTTTGAGGAATCCGGTTCCGCCATCGAGAACTGAATGCAGAGTAAGTATAGCTACCCGGAAGACTGTGCAAGCTGCGCATACCAATAGGTACCTCGGCCATGCTGTGTGGAGCGCGAAGAAAGTGGCAAAGTGGAGAGAATAGGTGTTGGAAGCTGACAGTTGCGCCTGGGTTGCGTGCCTTGAGGTTGACGATGTTGGTGGGGCTCAGCTTGGTCCGCGCGTTCCTAAACGGGCAACCCCAGATGCCTCAAGCTAGGGGAGGCACTGAAACAACATCCCATGTCCGAATTGTTGATGTATTGCCTGTTAGAACGTCCTTTTGTGGGTGTCTACATTGATATTACGCTCTTGTATGGGGCGGACGATGTACCCATCTAGATACCTTGCCCCAATTGGGTACAAACGAGACATCTATAATCTGTCTCTAGAGTCACGAAGAGAGGGTGACGCTGCAGAGAATACGTGAAAGCTACGATCCCGACCACAATTTCTCTGAATGCATTCTACCAGATTAAATACAAATACAAATATAGATGTGCACTGCTAGGTCATGTACATATTGACATGTACCAAGTCTGTGGTCACCCACCATCGAATTCAGATACCCCAACTTAAACGGCCACAAGCGAAAGGTCCGTGCGCCGCACCACTCCCTCAATATTCGCTCCCACGTCGAACTTTCCTTCTGCAGCCGACCTCAAGTACGACACAGGAGACAAGATGCCTTTCGTAAGTATGCCTTGAATTGCCTTCGCAATGCCCCTCATACTCTCATGATTCATCATGGGAGACACCCCGCTCCGACGGCAAGTCGAGTGGAGTCTTTGCGAGTTGCTTCGAATGCGGGTTTGAAGCGCAAATCGCTGACTCTGGGATAAGTCCAAACTCCAAAAGAACGACGCGTACTTCTCGCGGTACCAAGTCAAGTACAAGCGCCGCCGTCAGGGTAAAAGTAAGTATCGTCCTGCTGCCTTCACTATTCGCATCTAACAGTGTCCCAGCCGACTACTATGCGCGCAAGCGGTTGATCACCCAGGCAAAGAACAAGTACAATGCGCCCAAGTACCGCCTGGTGGTCCGCTTCACCAACAAGGACATCATCGCCCAGATTGTCCACTCCGAGATTGGTGGTGACAAGGTCTTCATGGCCGCCTAGTACGTTCTCATGCAACTCCAATCCGTAACCCCTCTGTCAACTAACACCTTTCCAGCGCCCACGAGCTGAAGGCTTACGGTATCACTCACGGCCTCACCAACTGGTCCGCCGCTTATGCCACCGGTCTCCTCCTTGCCCGCCGCGCCCTCAAGAAGCTCGAGCTCGACAAGGACTTCGTTGGTGTTGAGGAGGCCGATGGTGAGTTCACTCTTACCGAGGCCGCCGAGGTTGACGGAGAGGAGCGCCGCCCATTCAAGGTTTTCTTGGATGTCGGTCTCACCCGTACCTCCACCGGTGCCCGTGTCTTCGGTGCCATGAAGGGATGCTCTGACGGTGGTGTCTTCGTTCCCCACTCCGAGAACCGCTTCCCGGGTTACGACATTGAAGGCAAGGAGCTTGACGCCGAGACCCTCCGCAAGTACATTTTCGGTGGTCACGTCGCCGAATACATGGAGACTCTTGCCGACGACGACGAGGAGCGCTATAAGTCCCAGTTCAGCGGCTACATTGAGGACGACATCGAGGCCGACGGTCTTGAGGAGCTCTACCAGGATGCCCACAAGCAGATCCGTGAGGACCCGTGGAAGAAGGAGGAGGGCGAGGGCGCAAAGAAGTCCAAGGAGGAGTGGGCGGCTGAGTCGAAGAAGTACAGGAGCAAGAAGCTCACCAAGGCCGAGAAGGAGGAGCGCGTCAAGGCCAAGATCGCCGAGATCACTGGTTAAGTCAATAGCTCGCTATGTACACTGCATACCATGGTGACAAAAGCACGGCTTCCGGCGTCTAGGGAGGATTGGGGGTGATGCCTGTAATGACAGGTTATCACTGCTGTACTTAGCCTTTCACGAACTCAATGAGATGATGAGACTGGCATGTCACAGTTGGCTACCACAAGCACAGGTTGACAGTTCACGTGCACTCGTTTGTTGATGCGTAGGTGTTGAGGGAATAGGAGCTGACGTAATCCGGTCGTGCTTGACTGGACCATAGTATGTATCAGCTTTGAGCTCGGGACGTGTTGTGGTGCCACGGTGCTGGCTTGGCCTACGCTGTGTCCATGGCACAGTGCAATGCTGTTCTGCTCGCCAGGTGTTTCAACTACATACATGGAAGCGTGCCTGGTACTCAACTAACACAGCATGGTACCCAGGTAAGGTAAGTCGGCTAATGTAGGATCAGCGCTTGAGCACAGTCTGATGTTTTTGTACATTCATTTGACTCGGCCCATGTGCATAGGCTGACAGCCGATTGTACTCAGTCCATCGTGTTTAGGTACCTATGTCAACAGTGAAAGCTGGGTAAAGGAAGCAGACGGCAAAGCGGGTGTGGGCGGATCAGGAGCATCGGCCAGCAACACTAAACCGAATCAGGTTCGGTTCGCTTTTGATGTGGGATCAACGTGTGCGGAGAATGGAGAAGCGAAGCGAAGACGCCAGCCGAGCCTTTCGTCATGGCAAGCAATCTAGAGTAATCAGGGACTGCTTGCACAAGTACATGCTACTATACTCTAGGTCCTCTCTGCACAGAACATAGCCAACATCGTAGAGTACCAAGGTCAGCCGAGTGTTTCTTTCGAGTGCGTGTGGAGAGAGCAGAGCTGAGCGAAGAATTGCCACAGGTTCAGGTTCCAGATCTCAGGGCTTGGGAGTCGGCGCGAAACAGAACAGATGTCTTGACCATCGGCCGGACAGTTGAAAGTCACCTGGTTGCGAACGACTTCCGACCCCGCTGATTACCTGGACCTGATCCCATTCCCGCCACATTTCCCTTGATCAGTCATCGACCTTCACACGCTTGCCCTTTCACTTGCACCGCGACACATGGCGACGTTGAGCATACGGCAATGACAACCGTCCAAGTTGCGCACGGCAGCGCGTCTGCCATGGAGGACATTCACGGAGTGGATGTGTCCTGGCTGCACCACTCGACTAGAGGTAAGGCCCGCTTACGCTTGCTGCTCCACCCAACTCGGCTCTGCGGAAACGAGTGTACGCAGGCCCTGCAGACCACCACCCTGACTAACTGCGTGCGCCTGAGTAGACCATCACCATCGCCAGCAGGCACCTTCCTCGCCAGCTCTCTCCAAAGATGCGCCCCCCAAAATGTCGTCGCATGGCGGCCTGCCCGCTCAGTCGCAAGACCAGCAAGACCAACACAACCCCGATCCGCCGCCTTCCGTTCAACTGCCGGCCTCACCACCACGCCCGTCCCCGACCACGCCCACGACCCCGACCACGGCACCCCCGATGATGAGGAGTCTGCCCAAGCGACCTGCCCTCCTTGGCCGAAGCAGTACCGAAAGGAGCGCAAACGGAACGACGCCGCCAGAGTCCAGGACCAGCTCCCGGCGCAACTCTTGGATGAGCAGCTTCAGCTCCAAATTCTCGTCGCAAAACTCCCCTGCAGTCACAACCCATGCGCAGGCCCATGGTTCGCCCGCTCCCGCCCATGGCCTGGCCAACACCGCGCCCTCTGCCAACGGCGCCCTAAATGGAATACAGGCGGCCTCGGGCACTGCCAATGGAGGTCTGGATCCCTATGTTCCCCAGCCTCCAAAGGCCTCGTTCCTCACCACTGCGCTGCGACGCCTCTCCTCTGCAAATCAAGTGAGCACCGCCGGCAAGGTCTACCCAAATGGCGGCATGTGTCCTCGCAAAGTCCTCAACGTTGATCCCAACAGAACACGCTGCCTAGTACCAGAGTTGGACCAGAACAAGTTACGTAAAGTCGCATTTTGCGTCGACGTTGAGATCGCAGGAGGTCCCAAGTACAAAGATGAGGCGGGCGCTGAGGAGCAGCAGAAGAAAAAACAAGACAAAAAAGTAAAGGAACGCAGCGAGGGCGAAGCGCTGAAGCATCCCGATGCTTTTGCAGAGAAGAAAGACATGGAAGACTCGAATGCCGCTACCCAAGAGCCAAACCTTGGCGACACGGAGCTTAATACAGACGGTGCCTCCCCCGGGGACGAGAAAGCAGAGCCGAATAGGAAGAAGGAAAAGAAGAAGCGGTCAGAAGCCGAACGTAAGGAGCGAAAGGAGAAGAAACGCAGGAGGGCCGAAGAAAACGGTACGGTGCCACTCGAATTGATCCGGAACAGTGATACAGTCAGTGGAAAGGGCTCCCCCCCGCAATCCTGCTTAGCAGCACGGCCCAGGGCTCAAGATCGACCAACTATAGATCCTCTACGGATCTATCGCAGATGCTGCCAATTGCGCGAATCTCCGATTCTGAAACGTATCAGCGACCAACTCTCGGCTCCGCGCGCTTGCTCCACATTACAGCCTGGAGTGGTCACTTGCCTCGACTTGACGGGTTCAAGATTACAGCTGGCAGACGTGTTAACACTATCTGACTGGCTTGCGATCGTCCCCGTCAAGAAGCTATTCCTTGAAGATGCGGACCTGAATGACGAGAAAACACGCCTCATCCTCGCGGGTCTCTTGGCAGCCAAGACCCCCGAACCTCCAAATCATCAGGACGCTACTGGAAATGGTGGTGCACAAGGTGCAGATACTCAGGCTGGTTCGACTGCGATCAAGAAGCTTGTTCTCAAGAACAACCCTAAGATTACCTCGGAAGGCTGGAAACACATCGCGCTTTTCATCTACATGTGCAAGTCCATCGTGGCGCTCGACGTATCAATGATACCCTTTCCAAAGCATCGACCTCAGATGGCTCTCTCACCAACAACCTCTGCAAATGGAACCTCGCACACCACAGAGTCAAGATCGAGAGATATTGCCGACATATTTTCCAAAGCCATCTCGGAACGCCTTGGTGGTTCAGAGTTGCAAGAGTTAGTAATGGCTGAATGCTCCCTGGACTCAGCAAGTATTCGCAAAATCATCGATGGCTGTATCGTTAGCGGTGTTCAGCGATTAGGGCTTGCAACAAACGACATAGACAGCGAAGGCCTGCAATACGTCACACACTACATCTGCTCCGGCGTTTGTCAAGGGATCGATCTCGGCGGGAATGATTTGCGGTCGTGGATAGATACGCTTTGTCAAAGTCTCCATCAAAGTAAGAATAATGTGCTTTGGGCCCTGTGTGTGCGGGACACAGGTTTGACGCCTAAGCTATTCAAGACTTTGCTTTTGACCCTAGTCTCCTTACCCTCGATCCGCTTTTTGGATATATCGTATAATAAGGGCCTCTTCTCTGATCCGACATCACTGTGCATACTGAGAAAGTACCTGCCAATGTTCAAAGACTTGAAGCGGCTTCATCTGATGAACGTTGATCTGAAGCCTGAGGACGCAATTGCTATAGCGGAGGTTTTACCGGATTGCCCCCAGATTGCTCATCTCAATATCCTGGAAAACCCGCAAATCTCACGAGTTGCAGCTTCGACCGACGAAGAAACGCAAGAAGAAGCAGCAGCATTATATGCTTCGCTGACACTAGCCGCTAAACTGTCACGAACTCTTGTTTGCGTGGATGTCGATGTCCCAGCACCCGAGCAAGGCCAAGTGGTGAAAGCACTCGCAAAACAGGTTGTTGCGTATTGTCTTCGCAACATTGAGGCCATCAATGAAGTACCCGAGCTGCAATCTGCGCCGAAAGAGGTCGAGCTTCCTCAGATTCTTATGCATTTTGTTGGTCCAGACGATGCATACTGTGACAATTCTAATGCTCCAACCCCTGCTCCAGATGAAGATTACATTGTAGGTGGTACCGGGATAGCAAAAGCCCTTAGCTATTGCCTATCTCATAAGTCTGCCGATCTACAAAGAATTTCTGTGCCGAACAGTGGGACTAGCACGCCTCAAAGCCGAATTCAAGAAAGTGAAGAGCCAAGCAAAGCAAGAGCGATGTCAAAGAACCTTCTCGACACTGCTCGCAACACAAGATCCAGGATCCAGCCGGCATTGGCTCGAGAGGCGAAGGCTGGTGACCATCTGTCATATCGTATGTATTACTTGGGAGATTATCCACACAACACTAACCTTGGCATAGGCCGCCTTTTATTTTTGGACCAGACTCTCGAAGGCATGATTCAGCGCTTCGAGGATGAGTATCCAGAAACGCGTCTTCAACCATTCGACACAGCCTCGTCTCAAAGCTCTGTGCCCAGCACCTCGCCACCAGCCTCGTCTGTACCCACGCTTGGTAACAGTATCCCCGAATTGAACCAACCTGAATCTGAAGAAGACGAACTCATGACCCTCCGATCACGTCACAATTCCGACGTTTCGCTTGCATCGCGCTACATGTCAGAGGAAGAAGGACGTCTTCATCGCTTTGGTCACCGCGTCCGCACCAACCTGCTCAATCCTTCTCGTCCAACGTCTGCGCATGACGAGTCGTCGTCAGCCCTACTCTCAGGCACGATGGATGATCAAGGTTTACCTGCGCACCTGATGAGCCTAAGGGAGTACTTTAGCAACTATAGTGGGAAAGAGATGCGCAATATGATCGAAGGGAAAGGCTGGGAACAGGCATTTGATCAAATTGTCGAGAACGCCGAGGAGCTTAAGAATCTTGAAAGGGAGGATCCGGCCGCTTTCAAGACGTTCAGAGAGAGTCAGATTGCAGCGCTCAAGAATCGTAATCCCGACATCTCTGCACCAGGGGAGGTGGAGCCGCACAAGAGGGGGGATGATTTTGCTATCGAGGATTGAGGCCCTCAGTACATGACCGGGCCAGGCACTGTGCGAACAGCGGGACGATATATGGAACACATAATCTACTTTATTTTGGGGGTTGATACAGGTTCATATAACGCTCGCTTGGTTTGAGCGATCCACGGGCGCACAATATACCCGGCGGGATAGGCTGGCGTACTGTCATTCTTGGGAGAAGGTGTTTTAGGTAATCATTCGAAGCTTATGCCACACTGTGTGGATCCAAGAACTAATGATAATATTTTTTCTGGACTATGAACTAAGCAGCTATTTGACCAAACATGTCTCAGACTGTGGAACGATCGACCTGTACTGTATCAGGTATGTGCTTTGGCATATTTTGGCAAACATCCTCGCCTCGCCTAGCTCACCATATAGATGAGCAGAAGATGAATGACCACGACATGCTTTCACTCTGAAGAGGCTGCAGCCATCTTAGCAACTACGAAGAGCCTAGGCTTGATCGCTGCCAAGGGTTGAAGTTTGAAATAGGTTGGTTGTGCGAAGTGCTTACGATATCTATGTACATACATAGTATGCTCGGTGCCCCCTACCTAGTATTCGTACGATAGTTCCCATAATGCCAAGGCCCGCTTGTATATTTGAAACATACGCGGAGAGGTATATATGCCCGATTTATCTTCCAAAGGGGATAATTATAGATGACTATTTGAACATTACTTCAACATGTCTAGCTGGTATGTTTGAACTGGTCTTCTGTGCTGCCCGTCTTTCAACATCTTAGCTAGATTTCTCTCGGCCTTCATATTCGTACATCTGATAATGTGCTGAGCGCTAGGATTACTGGGGTCCGGAGTCTACCAGGTGGGATCTTAGTTAAGAGTAGAAGTCATGCACCGAGAAGCGCCCGGGGCGTATACTCACTGCATAGGCGCTAGCAGAAGGCAAGACATAATACCGCACGCCATTATATATTATAAATCGTATATGTCTCCCCTAGGGTTTATATCAAGCTCCATCCTGACTCCTCCATCTCTACTGCCAACTCTCAGCGGTTACCGGTACCCGTCTTGCAACGCTACACTTTCAAGTTCACTATGAGGTTCATCTTTCCTGCTTGCCTATTGTTTCTAGCCACCTCGGTCAATGTATGTCGAAATTCCTCTGTTGCAATTTCCAGGCATGCATCCTAACCTGTAATATAGGGACATCTCCGGTGCCAGTGTACGGGCGGTACAGATCAGGATCACAAAATGATGACGGGTTCATGCTGCTTCCGAGTAGCGGCCACGGACGGAAAGGTGCACACGGGGAATTATAAAGATGGCATATGTGTGGATCTTGTACTATGGGATGGCACCACAGTGGACTCCTTGAAACAAGGATGGCAAGATTGCTGCCTGTCCGAACAGAAGAGAGGAGTAACAGTTGAGGGTGGGCAGTGCGAGTAAGGCTTTCGGTTCAGGGTCATCTGTTCGGGTTGGCAATTATGAGCGCTATACAGATGGATGGAGAGCTGGGCTCGTAGCTTATATACTCCAATAAGTAACATTGATTGCATGATTCCCTTTTCTTCCATAAAAAAAGATTAGACTGAACATGAACAAGCTAGTCCTGGGAAACTATATCTCTGCATTGAACGGCCTTGGGGATTGTCTGCAATGAGTCTTCATGATAGAAATGTATAGTACCTGTTGGGAAGTACCGGTTGTACAAGATTCTCGGATATCTTGCTGTTCTCAGTATTATATAAATAGCTGTCTGAAATTGGCCTAGTCAAACTCAATATACGGTGACTCTAGGAACTTGCATTGACGCAAGCTAATATACTCATGCATGTGCCTTGTGCATTTACTGGCATGTAGCCTGACGTGAGATTTTAAAAAATATTCGTATGATATATCTCAGTGCAAAAACATACCTTACCCACCCTCAATGCACTTTTCTCGTACTTACACAGATAGACATGTATAGACATCCCATCTATCCTTCTGTCCTACCAACTTTACTTCTGCTTTGCCACCATGAAGCTTATCCTGACTGCATGCCTTCTCTTTCTTGCCACCTCGGCCTATGTATGTCATATTGCCTTTCGTCTGATTCCATGGCATGCATTCTAACACTTGGACAAAGAGAAATAATAAAGTGAAAATGTGCCGGCGAGATCGAACAAAACAGTTTCTACAGCACGAATAGATGCTGCTGGCAGATGATCAGTTTAGACGGTATGCCGCACAGGGGAGCAATGAAAGATGGCATATGCGTGTATGACGACTTGCAGCCACATCAGACAATGGACATGTTGCATACGGGTTGGGAAACGTGCTGTCCTTATAAGACAGGTAGCGTTGGATCCTGCGAGTAAATTTGCGTCAAAAAATTAGGTTGGGTGGATAGGTGTGAGCATTACGCCGTTGAGCAGATGCCATGACTCGTCGCTACTATTTATAAAATCAATTTAGCTGTATAATTGTTACCTACCCAAGCCTTACAGTAGCCCATGTCAAACAGTGTATTCAACAGTGTATTCAGATGATACAGATGTTGGCCAGCATGCAAAATGACGTGAGATTATACATCAACATAAAGACAGCTTCAAGCATCAAAGATTAAGCCCTCTGTCCTTTGAAATTCGCAGACCCTTTGCAGTCACTGTGAGACTTACCTTCCGTGCCTGACTACTACGTCTTGCCATCTCAGCTCATTTGTATCCTCATATTTTAATTCTGAAGTCCTGTATGCTAACAGTTAGATAGGCACTGACTGCTAAATGCCTTTGTAACGGCCTCGAGCTATTTGCGAATCGTGAACGTTCTGGGAAATGCAGCTTCAACGGGGCAGCGACTGCTGATGGCATTAAGCAACAGGACAAACGGGACACAACGCGTCCTTACTCTTGCCCTATTATCCCGGACTCGCCAACCTTAATTGGAGATATGCAAGTAGCATTCGCTCAGTTTTTGCAAGACTGTCCTTGTGCCCACTTCATTTATTGGTGCAATCTGCTCTGAGCAGGTTGCTACATAGGGTCGTCTATTCGGGTGGGTAGGTATAAGCGCTATGTAGATGGACGGATAGCATGGTTCATTCTAGTATGTGTCCCTATAACACAACACGTTAATCCCGCTTGTTTGGTGTTGGTGTCCTACCAGTACCGGTAGTTACTTAGCAAAACGTTGACATGCCTGACCTCACTACGGTAAAAAATTGTTTACTGTAGAATGGTACGCTAGGGGTTTACTATATAGGTGTAAACTGACCTCGTGTATACCCGTAAATAGGTTTAAAGTGGTGGTTTACTTTTATTAAAGTGGTGGTTTACTTTTATAGTAGGGGTTTAAATTAAGTATAAAAAGTAGTTTTATTTCTATTATACGCGATAATACCTAACTAAGACTAAAAGGGGTAGAGAAACTTAGCTTCACGCTATACGCACATGTGACATAATAATGAGTCATGATATTTTGACTAATAGGAGGTGGTAATAATAGAGGTGGTGATAATAGAGGTGGTGATAGAGGTGGTGATAGAGGTGGTAGAGGTGGTGGAGGTGGTGATAGAGGTGGTAGAGGTGGTGGAGGTGGTGATAGAGGTGGTAGAGGTGGTGGAGGTGGTAAAGAAGATTAAAGAAAGGAGGGGTAAAATACTTAGATAGTTAGTAGGAAACTAGTTATTACTACGTAATACTAGTAGATTAATAGAAGTAGAAGTAAAAGTGGAATACATAGTATAGTAAACCCTATTTAGGTTTACTTCTTCTACCTAAACTACTTCTTAGTCTACTTTAGATAAATATGGCTACTGTAAACCGGTTTTGTACCGTAGTGCCTATAACTGTATTCGCATAACCCGCAAACCCCTCTACCAACATACTCTAATGGCGAAATCAAAGTGGTCGTACCGTACCTCATCTTAATACTACAAAAAATATCTAGGCGTTGCTATCCTAGGGTGGGAACCACACAGATTGCAACACTACCTCCATAGTTTGCTCTTGGATCAGCGTTATCGATAACGTTGCCTCACGACTCAAGTCTGTTTCATTGCCGAGGTATCTTGCTCGCAACGACGACTCCTCTACCAGCGCCCATCATGACGCTATACAACCCGCCATGATGCCTCGATAACATCTGTCAACCTCTTAAAATATCTACAATGATCATGAGTTCTTCGGCTGGGCCACCAAAGGCTGTGCTCTTCGACATTGGCGGTGTTGTTGTAAGCAATCCAAGCACTTATTGAGGCCAACGAAGCGGTTACAATCGTTGAAGACATCGAGCTGACACACGTCGCTCCAGGTCATAAGCCCTTTCCAAGCAATTCTCGACTACGAAATTGCCTTGAAAATACCAGTCGGCTACATAAATTACGCGATTCAAGCCGGCCCCCACGACACAGGCGCCTGGCAACTCCTCGAGCGCGGCGAAGTCGAATTAAATGAGACTTGGTTCAGTTCATTCAAGTCACAATTATCACGCCCGGAAATCTGGACTGCTTACCTGGCCAAACTCGCTGGGCAAAAAAGTGTGGGCGGTGTGCAAGCCATTGATGGCGGAAAACCGCAGGTCCCAGACATTGACGCAAAGAAGCTATTCTGGTCCATGATGAAAATCAGTCGTACGCCCGATCCTTACATGTACCCCGCTCTCCGCAAACTCCAAAGGAGTGGGAAATTCGTTCTTGGCGCTTTCAGCAACAATGTCACTTTCCCCCCAGGCATTCGCGACGACACGGGCGCAATCTTCACCAAGGAACTCATTCTCCCGCCCCCGCCTAGTCCTTTCGCATACGACTCTCCAGATATAACAATGTGCTTTGACATCTTCCTCGGATCAGCTGCGGTGGGGGTCCGGAAGCCGGATCCAGAGGCGTATAAGCTTGCGGTACGGGAGATGGATAAGATTGCGCAGAGGAAAGGAATGGGGAGAGTTACCGAGGGCACGACGTTGTTTCTGGATGATATTGGGATCAATTTGAAGTTTGCGAGACAGACGGGATTGAGAACTATCAAAGTAGATCTAGGGAAGACGAAGGAAGCGGTCAAGCAGCTCGAGGTGCAGACGGGTATGAAGCTTTTGGATGAAGAAGACAAGGCGAGATTGTGACATGGAGAACGAATACCACATTTTCAATTCGACAATGTGATGTCGTCCTAGCTGGTACACTTGAATTCTCTTTCCCTACCAATCAATCCTACCTCACCCCAACTCGCGATACATTCCCCTCTCCCCACTTCCACCAACCCCCTTCCCCCCCATCTCTGTCCCTTGTCCTTCCTCCTCCTAACCTAGCACCACCATTTTTCTCACCATCCTTCCTCCTCCCTCTCCACACCTCCCAGTAAACACCCCAGCGCCGCCACCCGACTCTCCCCCATTTTCTAGCCCAGCTCGAGCGTCCTAACACGACCTTTACCCAGACTGTACAGTGAGGCGGAGAAAGCAGAGCCCGGGGACGGTGCATTGGGATGTGCGTCTAGGATGCATGGGAGGGCGAGGTAAAGGGGTAGGACAGAGCTGTGGGATTCGGGTGTCAGTGTGGGTTGGTGTGGTACGAGGGTGAATGAAGGGGAGAAGGGAAAATGGGAGTCGAGAAAAGTATATTCTTAATCAGACTTGTCATATAAGAAATTTCCGCCTCATCTTCGCCGCGTAGATTGGGTAGGGCGTCTTGTGCGCAGCCCAGGCGTTCAGACAGCTATGGCGTTTGCGCGTCCATTTTTTATTTGTTTTTGCAACATGGCAGTTGATGTTCTATGCAAGTGGATGATGGGCTGCGAAAATGAAGACATATATGAGGAGATCTGGGAGTAGGTATGGGAGTAGGTATGTCCTGTATTCTTTGGAGAAAAGTCTAGTTGTTTGCTTGGTGTGATAGTGAGGCTCTCTGTATCCGATGAGATGCTTTCTTGGAGTTGTAGGGCAAACTTGTGTGACAGTGGCTATCGAATGTGGTAATGCATGTTGTGGTAAATTGCTTTGATGGCGTAGTGAATAGGCTAGAGAGGCGACAATCAGATTGGGGGAAGGGCAGGTGAGTTCATAGCGGTCAACAGAGTATTCTCATGTTCTTGCTAAATATGTACTGCTTTTGCTTGGGAGCCCGCCAGTTCAATGTTCTTGCAGATTTGACCACACGTGATCAGTTTTTGATGCTGATGAATTACTGCATTCTGTAATCTTTGACAGTCATTAACCTATGGTATGGAGACAATATCATCATTACTATCTCTCCTCATGATACACGACACAAGATGAGCTAGTTATCAGTGAAGTTTAGGCCACCTTCATTGTCTTCATGCAACCCAAACGCCAAAACAAGAGTCTAGTGAGAAAGTCAAATCGCAGACTGCATTTTCAATAGGCATGCATTGACTTTCACAGCTTTCGGCCTCTGGACTCGGTTGTTCGCACATCACAGGCGATCAACAACGGCCAGCCCTCGTCGCACAAATGTACAACCTCAACGACCGACATTGGACCAGATCAAAATGCCCGTTTCGCCGTTGAAACATTCCCATGAGACATTACCATGCGCTTGTTCGGTATTACCAAGTTATGCCACGAACATGGCCGAGCCCAAGCTGCCCAACAGAACCAGCATAGGTGCACACTTGAGCATGTTGTTACACTTTGTTTTCCAGAAGCCTGAAGATTCCGTAGGTATATCCATGTTTCACGGCGCTTTGTCCTCGGAAAAGACGCGATTGAGAGACCAGGTCATGGGCCTTTGCCAACCGCCAATTCCGAAACTCGCTACAAGCTTAGCCCATCTTCCCCGTAATCAGGCCATCCCCGCGACAATCACAAACGGGTAGGAAATCACTGGGACCGGGGGGGTGTGGACGCCTGGACGATTGCAATTTACGGTGCACATACCTACACATAAGCATTTTACGAGTCGTCGGTCCCCAGATTGCGCTTGTTTCATATCCGACATGTCAACCGTCCCTCCGAGATTACCGTGGGTGGAATGGAGATTGCAAACGGAGGCCCTGGGTCCAGCCAGTCTTGTCGAGAACCATGCATGGGGGATGATGGGAGGTGGGATATGAAACATGAAACGAAAATTACCTTGATCTGAACCGGGCGACACACGCAGCAGAGCTCGAAGATCATGCCGAGCCGGAAATGAGATGAGTTCGTGCTGGAGGATGCTGCATGCATCAGGGTCCAACGCCAACGCCTCTTCCCATGATCGCCAGGGTCCCTTGGAAACTTGTGGTCGGGGCGTGCATTCAAGGCGGTGAGTTCTGTTGAGGCTCTGTCGAGTCGCAGAATCAGGCCACGGAGGAGATGGGATGGGATGTGGATGGGGGGCAGAGGGTGGGGTTGGGGGGGGATAAAAGTGGCTAAATGCACCGAAGCAAGTACCGGTACAGTGAGGGGGACGTAGGGAGAAAAAACTTGGCGTGGGATTGCGGCTTCTGGTTGCCGCTCCCCGTGAGTCTTACAATTTGTGTGCATGTGTGAGTGCCTCGGTCCGGCTTGGCTGATTGCGGGTTGGGGATAAGACGGTATCACACTGTTGCTGTTCATTGGCGACGGGCATTAGTATTGTACCGTAATTTCGTATTCGATCATCGGGAGCACGTTGCTCTCCTGGGCCGACACAAGTGAAAAGAATTTTTTGCGAAACAATGTGGCGATCGGAATCGTGATGAACTCATGTGCAGAACTGTGTACTAGTACTCGATCTAATGACGATCTAATCTGACGAGCAAAATGTGAATATGGGCACATTGAGTTGGGAGGGAGAGAGGCAGAGAGAGAGAGAGTAGAAGTTTAAAATCGTATTCCAATCTATATAATCTATAGATCCATAGCATGTGGTGGTGCGGTTGAAACGCAACTGGTATCAAAGACAAAGTACCTCGAGCAGGTCTCCATCGATCTGCCAGGACCGATGTAGGTAGAAGGGCGAATGTCGCCAATGTTTGGAAGGGAAAAAGGAAACCCATGATTACGCCGGCTGCTATGCAAAAAGAAAGGAGGGATTATTTTGAGGCGATGCTAGCATCTATTCCTCAATCACACCTGTCGCAATCATGCTCTCTTTCAGAGCCTTCTTGTATTCGCGCTCCATGCCGTGCTTGACAGCATCGAGCACAGTCTCGACAATGGCCTTGGGCTGGAAGCGTGGCGTCGTGCCTGGCTGGAACACACCAGTCTGCACAAGTATGGAGTACCAGTTGGCTTCGTCAGTGTGCTCATTGTACTCGTTCGTTCCACGGATATCTGACTCGGGTGTGTCACCGACAAAGTAGACAGTGGAGGGTGGCGAGTCAATGCCGTGGCTCTCTTTGCGCCACTCCTGGAGGAGACGGGTAGCGAACTCAAAGGTACCGATCTGCGGCTTTCCAAATGCGGTTGTCTTGAGGTCCTTTCCAGTGACAGCCTTGTACATGGCTTCCAGTGAGACGCGAAGGGCACCCATGCCAATACGGGTGAGATCGTGAGATGCGCTCCAGACGACATCGTTGTGTGAGAAGAAGACTGGTGGACCCTCGTCAAAGTTCTCAGAGCGTGTTCCTAGACGGCCGTTCTTCGACATCAGAAGATCAAGAATGATTTGTTGGTCAGAGGCCCAGTCGCGGGAGTCGGCGAAAACGAAAATGGCTTCAATCTCGACCTCTGCAAAGTTGCGTGCTCGTGAGTTCCTGTATTCCTCCTCTGTCAATTTGCGGAATGGTGTTGTGTCCTGGTTGTCTTTAATGATATCTCCTGGGGTGACACTAATTGCATGTTAGATGACCAGTATAGTAACGAATCATCGAGTGGGCAAACTTACACATCCTTGAAGCCGTATCCTTCGGCCACGATGCGGCACTTCTCCCCTTCACCACCGACAACGAGAACAGTGTTATATTTCTCGGCCATCTCCCTCATGGGAGTGTGACCACAGATGAACTGTCCTGGTGATACTTCCATTTGAAGTTGTTGGCTGAGCTGCACACAGCGCTCTGCCTCCGTCTTACCACCGCCATTGGTGACAAAAATATAGGGCACTTTGATGCCGTACTCGTTCTCGCCGTTGAGCATCTTCATTGCTTCGATTGCCTCGGGGATAGGCCGACCTCCACGAATGAGAACACCATCAATATCAAACGCGTAGGCATACTTGTCGGTGACAGATGTGGCTGGGGGCGTGGATCCAGGCGAGGAGGGAGTGGCGGTAGATTCAAGGTTGTATCGCGCAGTCTCAAATCCTGTGGCGACTTCCGATGCGCTTGATGGGGCCATCAGGTGTTGTGGGGGAGCGACGACAGTGGGACCCATTTGGAGCTTCTCATGGGTTGCCTCCATCGACGACAGTCGCCGCGTACGGCCAGCCGTAGGTGGGACTATCAGAGACGGTGCAGACATGGCTGTGGTGTAGAGGAGGATGTTGATTGGAATTTCTTTCCTGAAGATGTTCTCAAGATGGCAAAGTTAGGATGTTGATGAGGCTGATGCTGTGAGTTGATGTATTAACCAGGGAAATGATCCGCCTTATATGCTGCTCGAAAGGGTCTTCAGGGATTCTCCAGAACCTCTTCGATGGGCGGAGAGAATAGTGGATCCGTGGGATTGTGAATTTGTGGATACTGTGGAGGTGGGTACGATATACTTGCTCTCTGATTGCAGAAGTGTTCACTTATATGCGCAACTTGAACCGTAAGAGAAAAAAATGCTACAGGTACATTACTCATGAGATGCCCTCTGCATACTGTGGCCTTGAAATCCCTTGCAAGAGGTCGATTTGCAGGCTACTGAGCCTTACGCTTATCGAGAACCAAACTTGTTGGCCGGACCAAATGTGGAACCACAACGTCATCCTTGTTGGATGACTAGTATGTTTGAACTCATAGATAGTACATAGCTAGCAAAATAGAAGGGGCTGTTGTGTTTTGACATGTGGTAGAGCATTGTGGCCTGCATCTTAACGCTCATTTGATAGTAGTTCCCGGTAGTGTTGCAGCAGAAGTGGGTATGCATCTAGTAAGATTGCCGTGATGGACTGCATTCGCCCCGAAGCGAGTGCGATTTGTTGCACGCTGTGTGCCTAACGGCCGCGCTCTACGGTCGTCGTTGTCGCAGAGTTTTGAGAATTCATGTGCCATGACGCCATTCATGATTAGCGTACGTCTTGTTTCGGCATTGCTTTATGCCAGGGACACTACAGCCAAGCTGTACCGTACGGCTGAGCCAGTGTGAGCCCTTCTGTGATGACGGATCGGCTGCTTTAGTCATGTCGGCGAGATGTAGCCGCACACATTTTCGTGGCCAAGCAAGACCCGGCCGACTCCGAAGAGAACTAGTTGAGGCTCAACCGTCGTTTAGGTCTTGGTCAACTCGCCAGTTGGTCCCACTCGCTCGTCATATGGATCACTTGGAGCGTCTTTGCGAGGTTCAGATAGACTCCATGGAAGACTGGTTGGTATGAACATGTGTGTTCAGCCTGTGCCCCTCTGCGTCCCTCTGCGCCCCTCAACTTTCTGCGCCGCCGCAGCATCCTTATCGCACCGTCTCTAACCATGCAACATGGTCGATCCACTCTTGTTTGAGCGACAAACGAGCATGGAAGTTGTAACTACCAACTCCCTTGAAGTGGGTCGGCTACAGACAAACGTATCCACAACGACAGGCTCAATCCGCAGCGCTTGACGTAACTATACATTGGACGGCCGCCTGAACGAGGGCTATGCGAAGTGTTGACAGTACACCAGTGGCTCGGTGATGTGACAAGTGCAGTCACTGCGCGATTTTCTTGAACATGATACGTGTGCCAATGTTGAGGCTATCATCTCGTAGGAGTAGAACTTTAAGGGTTCAGTCGAGACTAACTACTGAACGTATCGCCATATAGTCTACAGAGGGCAGTTATATTTTGAACATCAACCCCGCTGGATGATGAGGATATCTAGATGCAGTCTCTAAGCGAAACATGAGCAAAATGTAGTCCTAGGCGACTGCTCCCGTTTTTTTCTTTCTTTGTCCGCTACAGCATTCCGCAGGAGACCAAGGAGAGCCAACCGACATGGGCTACCGGGAGAAAGAGCAGGGAAGCGCGGCAACCTTCGAGGGCAGGCAGTATCAACTATACGACCTCGGAACGAGCAAAGTTAGTGTGTACAGGTGGTCCACAGTCTCAACAGATGCATTATACCCACCTGTGTATCTAGTCCTACCCAGCATAGCACATGAGGGCCAGGGTCCGCTCCCAGTAAAAATCCCACGGTACACAAACACAACGCGAGAAATTTGGTCATCTGTGCGAGGATCAGTCACGTACCATAGCCCACAGTTTACAACGTTCGCCTTCTTCTCAACTTGCGTGACTAGAGGAATCGGCATCTCTTAGGTTACAACGCCAGGCATCCTGTAATGCTAGATTGTCGGTGAGGTCTGGGGGACATCCAGCAACCCACGGGGTACAGACGCGGGGTCTCAACACTCTCCACAGCGGTCCACTGTATATGCGGAGGTAGATTATGAGCCCGCTGATCACAACACGGAGACGGGCCAGTAAGGGCAATGCAGTCGGCAAAGGCGTTCCGGGCCAAAAAGATTCAATCCGACAATAGCTGATGGACGACGAATGTTGTGTAGAGTGGGCAAGGCCAAAGTAAACATTTGAACTGTCTCTGCGATCAATTGGAACCCCCCCTCAAAAAAGCGGTGATAGATGATAGTGGGCCGTCTAGTGTTTCGTCGTCTGCGTGGAAGGCGGTACCGGTCATCGCCCGGCAGTATTGCGATACAAAAAAAGGAAGCCACGAAGAAAGTTTTACGTGGAAGCGCTGCAACCCCTCACCACCATCAATAAGTATACCACACATACACAATTCGGAACATACAACAGAGCAGCCACAAACATGAATTGGACGGGTGGTAGTTTGCAGCGTACAAGGAAAGCCAATGGTGGCATTATCCAGCAACAGAAAGCCTATTTTGCCAGAGCGCGTGCTCACCTCCAAAACGTGACCAACTTGCCAACCACACCCTTCCGACCAAGCTACCTCAATGCCAGTAGAGAGGACGACTTGCCGGGACAAGAGGCTTCATTGGCCACGCGTTCCCTCCGTCACAAAGGGCAAACTTCCAAGCCCAGGCGGCAAGACTTGCGAGCGCTGTCTAGCGATGGACAACACAAGCATCATCATGGGGGAAGCTCACGAAGAGCCCTGGTCTCTTTTCATACAGGAAATCCAACCAACAGGGCCGTAGAAGTTGCGAAAGGCAATGTCGGCGGTAAGAGTCCAATATGGGTTCTGCGTTCCTTCATTTGTCGCGGTGACTGAGAACATCAACTACTAAACTTGTGACAGGAATGGGGACCATACGGGTAAAGCGAAGCATCACCGAAGCAGACACCGAGGTTCAGCTACTTGAAGCAAACAAAAAGCGACTGCTGAAACGACCGGACTGGATCGGCGTCAACCCCTCCAAGCCAGTGAGCCTACCACTTGTGCCGTCCAGAGACAAACCTGGGATCGGCAAGCGCCGAAGGACCGAAATAAAGCCCGGCGCAACAGTTGGACATGGAATGACGACCAACCTCACAGACAGACTGATACAGCATGATATGCTAAGAGAAGGACTCCGGAGTGGAGTCCGGCGTAATGATCGTGATCACATGCGGATCCGAATAGGAACAGATGCATTGACGAGCGCTTACTCCACGCAGCGGCACGGATGCGGAGAGTCGCAGGATTCCTCTGATCCTATGCTTTTTGAGCAAGAATACGCTCCGAATGCAGGGACAGGTGAACCCTTGGATGAACCCTTGAAAGCTGTACGACCTGTCAATCATTGGTCTAATGCAGCATCGAGTACGTTTCAACAGGAACCTGCTGCTCCACACGGGATATCACTCACCGATAATCACAATCACCGACATTTTGAGCAGGTTCCCAACGTGGTCAGGTCTCGGTTTCTAGGAGATCCTGACCAAAGTGACTCGCAAGGTGAAGGATTCAACACGCAGGTCAACCATGTGTATACTATTCCGAGACGCATTCAATCGGATGCAAGTCATGCTCCTCGGTATCGCGTGACACAGCGTACTGGAGGTGCTCAGCAACCTTTCCTTGCCATATTCGATGACCCAGATTCTTCGGAGGACGAGGACGGTCACAAGGGTAATGGAGAGAATCCCGTTAGGAACAGTACCAGGGAGCAACTGCAGATGGACGAACAACTATTCGCCAATGCAGCTCGACCACAAAGGATACAGCGTGCTGATGGGGAGGGTGGTTGTCCCAATTTGAAGAGATCATCTGCTGTGCGTACTATTGTCGATGCAAAGGCATGGGAATCCTTCCTCGCAATTGCCAGCGACGACTCCAGCCACTCGACCGCCACCATGGAGTCTAGAAGCAGCAACTTGCATCTCTACCCTACATCGCCAAACAATAATAAAGCTACTGCGACCTGGTCACAACTTGCGACGCAGGGTAGCCAAGCTCAAATCGGTACCTCTGCCATGTCTGCCTCTTTGCCTTCTATGAGGCGGGGTATTGGAAGACGTGCACTGATTGATGCGACTATTCCAGACCGCAATAGGGTTGATGTTCTAGAGCGGGAGCCATCTCAAAATATCGAGGAGGACGAGGACGAAAGACTTTGGCAAGCTTTCGTATTCGGGAGCGACGACACTTGTTCATCATCGCGGTCGTTGCATGTACCAGGCTACCGCGGCGCCTTGTCGAACGAGCCTGAAGCAATATCTTGTATATCGCTCTCTGCTGCCGTCAGTTCTATCCCACCTACATCATCCGTCATATCGCCATCTCGCGTTCATAGCATAACAGAGAATCACTTTCGGCCTGCAGGCAATGTTACGCCAGGGTCGGTACGGCGGGAAGAGCGCAGCTCACCGGTCGTTCAAGGAGGATTTGACGACTTAAGCGATGGCGAGCTGAGCAGAGACTTTGTTCAGCGCAGGCTAAGGATGGGAAACAACGCATGTTGCGACACCAGTCTAGACCCAGGGAGAAGGGATAGTGGCACGAGAACGGTTGAGGGCAGGCTGCAGCAGGCCAGAAGCAGCGCAGGTAGACAAGCCTCAGCAGGCAGACTAGATGGTGGACAATATTACTCATCCATGCAAGCAGGGCCTGGTAGCGATAGCTCCTCCGACAACAACCTCCATCTTGTCGATGCCGCGTTGGAGGCGTGAGATGAAAAGGCGTTTCCTTGTAGTAGTACTAGGCCTGGTGTGAATTCTGCCTCCCTACCCCTGGACGCACACAAGGCTGACGGACGACGTGTTCGCTTATCGAATATACTTGCCACAACGACCAAGGACGATTACTTACGAAGGCCTCGGGTTGGCCGAGAAAGAAGAATTTCTTTGGCATTGCCAGCGAATGAAGCGACCCCATCCTGATCCAATTTTTTTTTCCTTTTCGTCGGTGCGACAATGTGTGCATGCGATTGTGGGACATGGCCAGATTTGTGGCAGAGGGACGTTTGCAAGCATGGGCTCAGCTCAGCTCGTATTGTATGCAAAAGAACATTCCACCGCGTTGCCGTACTGTGTGTGTGTTACGGTCTGTAGGCAGTAGACACATCCCTGCATCAGCCACTGGCATTGACCCTTACGGGGGAGGCGGGGGGAGGGGAGGTGGAAGCCGCAAACTGATCGGTCGCAAGGGGTTGGGTGCATAATCTCACCCATTTCCACGCCAGAAGC